TCTCGGCTCATTCATAAATCAGTCGCGTGATCCGATCGGTAGCTTATAGCTTATATTCTGCTCGGCGTACAGCGTACAGGATGTCGCTTGATTAGTATGTAGGATGAATGCCAGTCGAGAGGAATGATAGGAACACCTTTCTAGCGAGTTTTATATTGTAGGACCGGTCGTAACTCGTAAAAGTAAAGTACTAAATGGTGGGTAATAAAAGGTTAATAAATGGCGTTATGTACTTATATGCATTTTGTGTTAAGACATGATGATGTGAAGAGAAACCTTAAACAAAAAAGTTAAACCATCTGCTACATTCGATTGGAATTTTGGTGCTGGTATCAAAATGTTTAAATGGAACACAATCAATATTTATGCACTGTTTTAAATCTACTATATGAGCTCATATCAACGATATGTCACTAAAATGTCACTTCCTTATTTACCAAAAATCCTATGAAATGGATGAAACACGCACTAATCCTGGAGCCTATCTAGTCCTGATACTGCAGATCTTCAATTCAAATTAATCCATATTGGAAAATACCTGTAGATACTTTTATTCCACACGAAGAGGAATATTTTTAGAGGACCACGTGAAGCGTTAAGGGCACAGGTCAACGCTTACAATGCGTTTTTTACGATTCTAAATCGGGGGTTCGAGGTTAACAAGAACAAGAAACGTGTAACACGTACCCCTTCTAAGAGGAGCTCCCATTGTAATTGTAATTCTAACGGCTATTACGCGTTATTTAAAAAGGGTTGGTGAACTGAATAAATGTTTTTTCATCTTTTATTAATGCGATCTGTCCTGTAGGTTGTTTCGAATAGGGGATGATTTACGTTTATCTCGTTCTTTTCTTGTTAAAGTTGCGTCATGAATTTTATAGTGCGTTACGGTAAAAAACAAACTAATAAACTGTTTTTTATTTCGCGTTAAAAATCAAGTTTCTAACGCGTGATACTGCCATTAGTTTATCAGGAAACCGCCGCAATTACCTTCCATCGAGCACGTTACTTTCGATATTTCTTAATTCATAACTTACGTGAGAATTCTTCGACCTTTTAGCGTGCTCGTATTTTCCGCGCCGTGTTAATGTAGAAATCGGAACGGATTTATTGCAACTTGCCACTACGATCGGTCATTGATAGTCGAGGAGTAGCCGTTTTGCTTGAATTAACACGGTTGAAAAATGAAATTCTTCTCTAAGGAATTTTTCGAAATGAAATTATAGACAGTTTTTATAGAACTGCTAAAAATTTTGATCAATTTACTATGTTCAGAGGTGAAGTTATACTTTCAACTCATAGATTTGTAAACCAATTTTGCATCTGTAGAAATGCAATATTATAGTAGTTCAACTGTAATAGTTCGTCTGTAGAAGATCAATTGTAGAAATTTAACTAGAAGTTCAGCTGTAGGAGTTCAATTACAAAAGTTGAAATGTAGAAATTCAATTAATTGTAGTAGGTAGTTTAATTGCAGAAATTTAACTATAGAAGTTCTGCTGTAGAAGTTCAATTGAGTAAGTTCAAATTTCAGTAGATTCAGTAGAAGTTTAATTGTAGTAGTTCAATTGTAGGAGTTCAATTATAGTAGTTCAACTATCGAAATTCAACTGTAGAAGTTCAGTAGAAGAAATTGACTGTCTCCTGTGTCCTTTCGTATGTACACGATAGAAACACCCTGTATAAAAGTTGTTTGACTACATTCTCAATAGATCTTATCATTTTCTGTTTTCTTCAGAAACACACCAATACGTATAGATATCTCATCTATGAACCCAACAATTTTATGACACACTGTATTATAATTACAACAATTACTCGCATAGTGTACAGCAATACCTCTAGTTCATTATAAAATACATTAAACCCGGACTCGCCCCTCCAAACGCCACGGCCGCGGCGCCGAAAGGAATTCCAATTGATCGTGATCATTCATTCATTCATACTTTTACTCCCCGAGTCGCATAATTTCATAATGACCTTCTTAGGCCACCTTCGCGTATGCTTGCCTTTTAAAAAATGCATAAAATAGTCATTCTCGCAGTCTCCCGGCTGCGACCTTGCAATCGCCATCGGTGATTTCATCGCGACTTTTATTTTATCGCTCCATAATTAAAGAGCTGGCGTTCTCCAGCTTTAATAACACACGCCGGATCCGCCTTTCTATTCATCCGTTCGCAATTAATTGAAGTAGGTTAGTTAGACGCTGGATTGCATCACGGCCTATTGGATTTTGGCGCATATTTACCTGGTAAAATGCAATAAATTGGAAGTTTATAAAGAGCTGTTCGTGTGGTGTAAATGTAATGAATTCTCTCCATAGGTGTTCTTACCAGATCTGCTAGTATTTGATTGATGCCTTGTATTTAATAGCATCTTGGTTGGAATTCTAGAAGATGTATTGAAAAGGTCTTTTGTGAATCAGGTATTAATAAACTTCATTTCCATTAAAAAACGAAATAAGTTAGGTACATTTGGTGTTCATCTTCAGAATGAGGAGAATGTTCAATGCATTACAAATTAGTAAAAATAACATGAATGTTAAAGTAGGACTGATCGTTTGTTATTAAAGCACATTATGCATGTCATATTCGCATTCCGATGTTAGTACGTTTCATTATAATCATGCATTCCACGCCATGTGAGTAATAAGTAATAACAAACAAATAAAAATTCTAGACATGTGTAGATTGTGGATGCATTATAAATTCGACGGGGTCTCGTAAAACGCGTGCCGTCATTCTTATACTTAAGTGTACTATGAAGGAAAAATATTTTAAGACTTTTAAAGGCTCGGGCAGAGTGATTTTATTATGAAGTTGCAATTCAGTATCAGAGTAAAGGGATTATTTATTTCGTTAGTTCCAAGAGAAGCGAATTGCCAATATTGATTTATCGACCTATACGCAGACAATTAGTTTATTAATTTCCTGTTAAACTTTGCGTCAGTTGATTGTTATGTAACGATTAATTGCGTGCACGGGCAATAGAAAGGACGTTTTAACGGTGCCTCTAATTAAATATCGAACCTACTTTCTAAAAATACGAGTTGCTCCAGCGCAAATACGGACGCTCGATTTCCTTTTCCTGCGAATAATGCGAATAGATATCCTGTATGAATTTGTAACTTAAATCGATTAATTAGTTTTACTGTTAACGCCTTAATCGATGAATAATCGAGTATTTTATCCTATAGGTAAATTAGACACGAAATATTTCAGGGAGAAAAGAAAATTATTGAATTATTAGGATAGTGTGGGACTAGAGTAAGGTTGAAGAGAGTAAAAGGGAGTATAAGAGAGTATATAAGAGAGTATAGAATAGAAGACTAGAGAGGAGAATAGAGTAGGGATTTCTATTTTTGTAATTATTACATTGAAAGAGAATATGTGCATGAAAATACTTTTTGCTGTAAACACACCTTCTTAATCATCGAATGAATTATTATATGTGGTTATTTTCCGGGGACTCGGCACCCAATTTACGTACAGGATCAAAATTTATAATCCCATTAGCGCCCAAAATTTATACCAGTTCAAATTGATTGAGGTAAGAAACTTGCGTAGGTAAATATGGCAGAAAAATTGAGAAACCAGGGTGATTCTTGTTTACATAAAAACCAGCTTATCCCTCGAGCACGAGATCTTAACAATGCTCTCGAAATTCAAAAGGTGAAGGAGCAGCTGATGGTTTATTATCGGCCAGCCGGCGGACTCGATAAATATCAGGCCGAAAAATTAAAATACACAATTTAAAAATGAAGCGATTGCACTTATTTACAAAATATTTTATACAAATCCGAATAAAATGTAATATTTTTCTTGAATTTTTGTCACAAACAATTAACTAAGAAGATATCAATTATTTCAATTTCTTAATTTTTAAGACAAATAGGAAAATTCAAAATACCTACAACATACTAGGATCAGTTGAATATAATGTAATTTAACATTTCATCTGAAGAATCTTTCAAAAAAATGTATAAATACTGGCATAAATCAACAACTATACTGCGGGAATTCGAAGCCAAACTAATCCATCAGTACAAAACATGGCGATGTGGTTGAGTGCAGTTAATAAGTTACCGAAATATACATATTGCGTATACCTGCAAAGGGAATTTACCGCATCGTTTCATCAAACAGCTGTTTGCATTTACACCTGTCGAACAACATCTGCCGTTCTGGCCTGTGCCGCTGTTCTAAAAGAATGTTTCCAATTGCTTTACCTTCTGCGAGATCGCCATTAAAACTAAACTCGACCGCTGATTTAAGTCGGAAAGTTTATGGATAGAATGCAGTGTAAAGAGTATCTAGATCGTTAGCGAAGCAACTAATACTTATTCTAGTACTAATACATTCCGAATATAGTAATTGTTGAAGAACAATGGGCTTTTTCGTTAAAAGGTATTGAATTTGTTGTGTTTCATTCAAAATTATTCTCACTTTGCATCAGAATGCGTCTATGTATAAACGTCCCCAAGAGCCTTTAATAATTTCATTTTGGGACTTGATGCGTTCTATGATACATGAACATAAAATTGTCAATATTGACATTAATGTCAGAATATTAATAAGTTGTCAATCAATTTTTTAGTATAGAGGTGCAGTAACGACTGTTGCAAAATAAGCGTTATTTTTCGAAAATCGTTCTGATTACTCTACTCAACTTCAGCTTACTCTAGAAAAAAGTACTCTATCATACCCTAGAGTGAACATGTCCTTATTGCACTGCCTTTAAAACAACGCCAAAAATTTTCAACTCCTTAAAGTTTGCAATTAATTTAAATAATTTCCTGTTTTACCTGTAATATTCTTGCGACCAAATCACCTATAGGATACTCTTTTAAGCTATCAGGATCAGGTAATAAATATATTTCTGCGCCTAATTGTGCTCGACCTTGGTGCCAATCACATAGTACCTACCTAGATTAGCATTTTAACCATCCAATAGCGCGATTACTAAACATAATGATCTGTTAATTAAAAGAAAATAAAACACTTTAACCAAATATTTTAATAGTACATCAATAAATTATGACAAAAATGTTCTTACGGTGGCCTTAATGGTCGATCTACAAACCGGGCAATCCTCCAAATTGGGCGCGCAATTAACACAAGTCGCCAAATGTCCGCACGGAAGGAAAACAATACCGACTTCGACATCCATGCAGATTTTGCACAAACGAGCCTCCTTCAATTTCCTGTTCTCCTCTTCCAAGGACACTTCCCGGCACTCCTCCGGAGGTTCGCACTTGGCGTATTTGGTAGGCGAAGGAAGGTCTTCGACCGGAGACGTTTGAGAAGACTCCGGCAATTCCCGATCACCTGAGAAAACGAATAACTCATATCCCCTGCAGGTCTACATCGTAGAGTAATACTCACTATTGACTTCATTGGAAGACCTACAGACGGCGTTTATGTACGAATAAGGACCTTCCGAAGGCTGGTTCGTATCGGAAGGATCTTCTTCTTCGTGTTGGAGACTTAGGGCGGCCTCGACCAGAGCGTCCGGCTTCGAAAAGACCCGGCCGGTTTGCTCTAATTTTTCTCTAATTGCACGTTTTACCCTTTCGACGTTGAGGCCGATGCTCAAAGCGGCCAACGCCTGCGGACTAGACAAATAACTCTGTAACTCTCTTTCGGTGACCTCCCTGCGTCTGCGGGCCGTGGTTTGGGATTTTTGGATAGTCGGCCTCTGTAATTGATAAATAATTGCGAGTATTTTGCTTGCGTTTGAATAATGTATTCAATTTTTTTATGTATTGTAAAGACAGTTGATCGCAGTTTCATATTTTTAACTTTCTTGTAAAGTGAAAGTGCTGAAATCATACAAATTTTGGATGTTAGTTGATAGACAACAATATTTTGATCGTACAATTTTCATTGTTGAATAAACTTTAGTAAGAACAATGAAGAGAAAACAAAAAATAAATGCAAAAAAATAGTACAATAAACATTATTTGTACATACATACATGCTCGTGCAGTCATCGCCCCGTTTAATGCTTATTGTATGGAAAGTTTATAACCCCTTTACGATATTTCTCAAGTAAACACCGATATGAAGCCATTGTGATAAGAACAATAGGAGCAAATATAAGTATGGATTGTTTGAGTACGTCTTGCTTTCGAGGTAATTGTTTTTATTAATTTTTTCATACGAAACGAATTGTTAAATTTTAACCTCAATATACCTCTACTAAAGAAACCTTTAGAAATAACGCATTAAAAAGGCGACTGCTTCCAAACGAAAATTTGCTATTCTGGACTCAATCCTGAATTAATTTTTCGAAAAAAAAACCAGAGGTAAAAAACAGCTCTTGTTATAAAAATAATCCGTGCTAAATTTCATGAAGATTCATTGAATACATCGAAAAAAATATGTTTTCAGGCTAAACATATTTTATGTGGCATGGCATTTTTGATATACAATAGATAAATAGGGTTCAATCGACTTCATTTTGAACAGAATATGTGGTATAATATGTTACACCCTGTATATTAGATTAGTTTTTAACTAATACATATAGGTACTTCCTTAATTAACTATTGCAATTTCCACTTCGCAAGTTATATTAACCGGAAATGTGATATATTATTTCGATCCAATGGACAGACATGAAGAAACAGTATTCATTTACTAAGAATATTAGATTACAGAGTTGCTGGTACGGTCGGTGTCTTTTGCATCGCAGACCAGACGTGCGATAATGATTCGTTTGGCGTCCGTTTAATTCAAACTGCAACACCGTCAGCCGTTACGAAAAAATAAGCATCAGTTCGTAACATCTTGAAAGCGAAGGAAGAAATAAAAAGAACCACAATAATATATTTCCGCCGATACTAGTTTTATATTACATATGTACTATAATATTGCCTGAATGATAAATGTACCTAGTCGTATAGCAAATAGGTATTTCTTAGCTCTCCTGATATACACAGTGACAAAAAGGTACCCGAAAAATTGGAATAAAACGCAAAATTACTAATATTTTTTAATTTTTCTTGAATCTCCTTCAAAATATGATCCTTTTGAAGCGATGCACATTGTCTGACGCCTTTTCCAATCATCGAAACATTTTTTATAGGTTTTTTTTTGGTACGACTTTTAGCTCCATCTGGGAATTTTCATTGGTGGCATTTATGAAGTCAAAACGAGATCCCCGAAGTGGAAATTTGAGTTTGGGAAACAAAAAAAAAGTCGCACGAGGCTAAATCTGATGAGTAAAGCGGCTTGTTGATAGTGCTTCACACAAACCAGCATGTCTGTATCGTTTTTGAAGGAAACTCAGCTCTATCGGAACGAGCCGAGCTTCAATTCACAGCATGTCTGATTGACATGCTGATTTAACGGGAAATGTTTAGATCACATGCTACTTCTCTAATACTAGCATGATGATTTTCGAACTCAATTTCCTTCATTTTCATGCCGTTCAACTGTCTTTAAAAGTCTTGTATCATTCGTAAATATGGGTTTTCGATATAACAGAGCCACCTTGAGCATTTGCATCGATTCGGCCCACGAAAATTCGTCTAAAACCCAAAATATCAGACAAACTCTTTGTTCATTATTTTTGCCCATTGCAAAATTCGCATTGCACCACTGACATAAACTAATTCAATCAGCTGCTACAACCAAACTGATTGAGAAATCTCTCTAATTTTTTGCATGCTAATTAAGAACAATGTTACCTACATACAGAAACTTGAAATAGTTAAGAATATTAATTGCAGGTAATTTAAATCAGAATTTCCGGGTACCTACTTTTTGTCAGAAGGTATAATATTGCTTTTATGATAAATGTACATACATACCTACGTAGCAAATAGATATTTCTTAGCTCTCCTGGTATATTCATTTTAACTACACATTTCTTGAGCAAACTCTTTTGATAGTACAGATAATTTTTGTAAAATTTATTCGCCGCATTATGACGTCGCAATTATAAATTGTAAGGCGCTGTATAATTTACGTTCGTAGCCAAAGATGGAAAATCACGCAGACAGTCGGCCAGAAATCGTTTAAAAGCCGGCTCCAAAGCCCGAGCGGCGTAGGTTTTTTTGCGACGTTATGTAACGGTAAAACCGAACAACCGATCCATACACGTAATCCACCCGTTTCCTTTTTATCTTTAGTTGCATAGATGATTGAAGCATAACGAAGCAGATTTCAATTTTTTGGCAAACCTAGATGTCCTTCCAAACTGTTAAAAGTAACAGTTAAATTGTAACGTAAGTTACTGCACCTCTTCACTAGATTATCTGCTCCCACCTTTATGCTATACGTCAATTTGACAGTATTTGGTAGTGTATAGTCAATCTAATTTCAGTAGTGTCTACACGACCACGCTGTAACGATATATTTATTTCTCAAATATCCTTATAAAATAGAAAATGCCACGTAACATATCATGTAATCCAATATTTACAGTTCAGTTCTTGTGACCTTTTCCACATTCTCCATCCATTAATGAATAAATTATGAATTTAAAGACACGTCACGTCAACGAAATCAACATAAAACCGTAAAAATGTATCATCCTCTCGTACCCAAACCTTTAGGTACATTCCTAGACGAAATCAGTTTCTTTTCACGACCCATCATTAAAAAATTCCTCGAGTTAAGTTTCTAGTTCATCCTTGTAAGCGATGACTCATCGCTGTAAGATTAAGATTCCATGAACTCGTTTATTTACAGATAATTTACAACGGGTTTCAACATCAAAATTTTACAGCAATAATATTTACTCGCAAATTAATCGAAACTACTAATTTTATTGAGCATTTTGAGTTTTTTTATATGAATTACCTCCTACATGTTAATCTAGAGAACATCTCCTATGTGTTATGCAACACAGAATACTCCCAATCTCTAGAATGTACCTTTTATACCAAAAAATATACTTTCAGCATTTTAGTTCATCTAATTTCTCTTATATGCAGGGAGTCTCCATAAGAGGCTTGTAGGGGAGCCTAAAATATGTTATTTAACCCAACTTTAACTTAATACAGCCAACTTTTGAGTTATCGACGATTTAAAAGTAACATTGATAGTGAAAAGAAAAGAATTTTAAAAAACAAAAAGAATAAAAGAAGTTTTAAAATGAAATTACCTATGATATGAACTAATAATTTTGTAAATCATCCCTCAGGTTAAAAAATTCTGTAACATTAAAAGGGAACATTATCTCCGATGAACCATTTAAAATACATCAATTGATCTCACCTAAATATCGATTAATGCTCTTAGAACACTTGAATCATAACGTATACTATACTTAGTTGTTTAGAAGGCCTATAATTTCTAGGAATATAACTTTTGTGTTATGTTAAGTTGGGTTAAACAACGTATCTTGACATCTTGCTCTGTGTCGGTTCATAACAGGGACACTCTGTATACTCCGACAATTTTTAACAACTCCCGATTTTTAAACTACCTCTGCTTACCTCACTATCTGTCAACATCGATCTTCTCAAAGAACAAGCCGTTATGAAATCCTGCCCCTTCACCAATTTGAGAAACGAACAATCAGGAAACCAAACGGCGTGCTCAGTCCAGGGATCATCCTGGGGATCCCAGTGCCTCAAGCCCCCGTCGCAATGGAAGCACCTAACCTGATCCCCCGTACCTTCGTAGTAGAAACCTGCATTGGCTAGCTGTTCGGGCGTTTGGATCAAGTCCTCCGACCAGCCGGTGAACGATCTCAACCTAAAATGTACAGGAGCATTAGATTTGAAAGGCGCGTGAAATGATACGAACCTAGCTTCGACGGTGGCAAAAGAGGCTTTCTTCGGTCCTTTATGAGCCTGTACACCTAATTCGTCTAAATTGTGTTCGTTTCCGACTACGTTAACGTTCGGAAAATGATCCTTTTCAATTTGAGAGTTGGAGTTCGAGTTGGTGGAATTCCTCTCTTGAATCCTGGGGTTAATTATAGCAACAACGTAAGGGCATTCGGGGAAATGTCTTTGATGTTCCCTATCCGGATCGTCACCGGGCTCCCAAGCTCTAACGACGCCCATGCAAAAAGCACACTGGGTATTGTCACCTATGAGAAATACAGTTTCATGCAAAGCAAATCAAACGATCGATTCGAGTCTCACCTTGTTTAAGATAATAAAATCCGGCCAAAGCCAAACTTTCTGGAGTAACGATATTAGAAGCAGGCCAGTTGTCAAACGAAGCCAGTCTTAAAGCTCGAGATTCTCTCATCGGGTTGATAGATGTTGAAGGTACATGCGTAGGTATAGGAATAGGAACGTTCCCTGAGGTAGAAGGGTTGAGTACGAATGGACAAGAAGGGTTCAAAGTTCGGTGTTTTTGCATCACTTGCTCCCCGTAATTCCACTCGGATATTTTTACGTGACAGGCAAAACATTCTACTTCCAGGCCTTGCTTGGTCGAAAAGAAGCCAGCCCTCGCTATCGTTTGGGGATTTACTGCTGCGTTACTCGGCCATTGGATGAACGTGTACAGACGGTTCTTTTCTTGGTTCATTTTCTTCTAATAGGTCTGATCATGCTAGGTACTTGACTAATTTGTTATTTACCCTCGTATATGATAATCGTAGTCGGCGCGTCATTTTGAAATTTGAACAGTTTAATACTGTACCATTTGAACTTTGTAACAAAAATTGTAAAATTTGTATATAATTTGATTAGGTTTGCGAATTTCTTGAACGGCTCAGCTGATGACAGCAATATTATTGAATTTGACGTTTAATTGACGCATGTTGACGTTGACACTCAGTGTTACCAAAGCAAATTTTCTAAAAGTAATAGATTTTATTTTTCTTCAATTCAATGCCAATGATAACTACGATAACGTAAGGTTTTATCTACTTATTATATATAATACGAGTATTTACTTTATTGCTATAAAATGCTTGTAAAAGATACAGTAAATAACAATTTTAATTTTTAATTCAAAAGTGTACTAGATTGATAAATCTGGCAATATTTGACTTTACACTTTGACAATAATATCAATAAATAAATATTAATTTAGATTTACTAGCTAATTACTAAATAGTTCATAGTCCTTAAAAAAAGATGATATAATAGTACTTGCCGGGAAAATAGAAAATATGTATTACCAAACTAACGGAAAAAATAAATAAATTTTTATTGTTGATCAAATACTATTACACCAAAGGCTTGTTCTCGATACTAGGATACAAGGAAGATAACATGCCGCAAGCTGAAAATTAAAATAACACATATTAATTTGGCTCACACGATTCATATTCATCATTCATTCATCGAAATTAATATTTTAAAAATAAAATCCTTACTGAATCCAAACAACCCTATAAAGAGGAATGGAGGAAGGCACCCTAAATGCACCAAATAAGGAAAAGTAACATTCCCAATTAACGTGCCTAAACGCCCTGCCATCAAATGTACCGATAATGCCATAGTTCTAAAATAAGTAATATATTTTTAAAAATATACAGAGTTTTCTAATTTTAATAAAAGTATAGTTATCTAGGATATAACTCATTTTAGTTTACAATATAGCTATGGGTGCGATAAAAACAACTCCCATAATTAGATACTTGATACTTTTTCTGATAGAGGAAAAAGAGTGTGTCATAGAACTTTTCACTCTGACAACTGTCATTTTAGTAATCTTTCTTTGATCAACTCATAAAAATGACAAATATGACCATATGCAAACTAAAATGAACCAAGGTGTATATAAAGCATAAATACCTTAATGTTGTAGGAAATAGTTCCAAAGTCATTGTTATAAGTAAGATTTCAGGCACACTTCCTATTGCAGAACCTGCGGCTGATAAAATGGTGACGAACAATGCATTTTTTGCGAAATAAATACAAAACAGTAAAGTTGAGGAAAAGAAGCATAAAAGAACTAAAAAGAAAGAAATATATTTTTTCTAAAATAATAGGTTTTGTTCCGAAACAAGTACTGAGCCGTTCTGAACCTTTTGCACGCCTGCGCAGTCATCTTAAATGGGTGCCGGTCTAGTATGTGGTCTACCGTAATATTTGCGGTCTACCTACATATTTCGTCGCTCAAGTATATTTAAATACTTTGACAGGTGTCATATTTTGCGAAACTGAAACTGTTGTGAACATGTCTCACAAAACTGCAAATGTTTGTCCATTTAAACTTTTTTCTATCTCCTATAAAGTTTCCGAGATTTAACATCGACAAAAACTCAGCTTGCATATATAATATATATAATTCTCGGTAAATTGAATTACCTACATGCTGTTCTATAAATAATTCAAAACCAGTTATTTTTTTTCATTTGATTATTAAAGGGTCAATTTTCAAAATCTTGCTATAAAAAAATTTGGGTAGACTGCATACTAAACCAGATGCAGTAGGGTAGACCGCATACTTAAACCGGCACCCTTAAAGGTTGTAACAAGCTCAGAAACTTTCAGTGCATTAATCGTGTGCATTGGCAATCCACTTACTTGTCAATTTTTTCGTTCCCACCATTTGCACAAACATCCCGGCAATGAAGAAAGCCAGAATCCTTGCGGCTGCGACCATAAAGGTATTGACATACACGGAAATATTATCTAAATTCTGAAAATTGCATGGTGCAAATCAATTCGTGAACTCTATTACAATGCGAAGGGCATGTGAAGCTAGCTATAACTTACCACATTGCAAGATCCGGTAGAAGACACGTTTGCAGCGCCATTCATGAAGTCCAACATGGTGCACATGTCGCTGCTGCTGCCGTTGTGGTTCATTTGATAGTCGTTTATAGATTGAAATATGCCGGGAAGCCATAATCTTATAGTGTTCAAGCTGGGAAATAAATGCAGTGGTTCATTGTATCCTGGAGCGACTTTTTATATTTAATTGTATTACCTCAACACCAACGAAAACGCGTTGAGACTCACTAAAGCTAAGTTTTTACCGTGGGGCAGATGGAAAATGGTTCTCATTTCGGCGTAGCCGCTTTTCAATGCTAATGTCAAATCTTTCGTGCTGGCCAGATTTTGAATTGTTTCTTCAGCTAAATGTTTAATCTGAAAAATTTACAAAATGTAAAAATATGTGATTAAATTTACTGTAGGCTATTCTTGCATGTACAGAGACGACACCTAGAAAGGACCTCAAGAGAAAACTAAAGGTATCGCTGGAGAAATCTGAAGTGCATAAGAGGAACCTATGAGGAACCCTTAAGGAGGTTGAAGAGATCTATGAAAACCTACGGAGTACCTACCAAAGGTACTGTGAGGCACTTATTTAGATTGGTTTAAAATGGTCAAAGAAGGCACAAGAAAGACCTGGAGAGGCCTGAAAAGATTTGGAGAGGACCAGGAACACTTGCAGAAGATACACAATTGGCCTAGTCCTAAAAGATAAGTAAGAAGTAAGTAGATAAGATGCAATGACTTGTACATAATAGGAATGTAGAACATTTTGGTTTGGGGTTGAATAGAAAGTACATTTATCTGCCTATAAATAAATTAAAATTTGCAGTTCCAAAAATTAAATGTAACCTACTGGGAATGTTTCTTCCGGTTTTCCAGTGTTCATTGCGTAAATTTTTTTCATCACAGCCAATGCTTCTCTATTTCTTCCATTTGACATCAGAAATTTTGGACTATCCGGTAGAAAACTGTACAAACAACCGCTTATAATGGGTCCGAATGCGGTGATTAACATGAACACGTTCCATGATCGCAACTCTGAAATGTTTACAATAATTTGCGAGTACAAAAATCAAAAATTTATAAAACCCCGACTGATTATGCACGATTGAAATGGTATAATTTGATAAATAAAAAATTCACCAGTAGTCGTAAATGAGAGATAATTAATTTTGTAGTGATCAATGAAGTGCGATGACAATTTACCGAAAATTCCAAAAACAGATATATCAATCTTCCTCGGTAAAATTAACCAAGCTAACACCGGTAAAAGCAAGTTGGCGAAACTCGTTATTGTTCCTCTTATCATGTTAATTTTCCCCCTGTATTTCGAAGAATGGAATTCTACTATATGGGCGGTTGATGCAGAAAATGGCCCGTTCAGTCTAAAAAAATTGCATTCATCGATAGTGAAACTAGTAATCAAAAGTCCGAAATAATTTCTGGTCGATAATAATAAAGAAATACATACACCACACCTGCAGCAAATTTGGCTATTATCAGTAGAAACTTATTGGAAGAGCATGCCGCAATTAATGAGAAAAATCCTGTAGTCAAATAACCGTATACAATAATTTGTTTTCTTCCCAAAGCGTCTATCAAATAGCCCCAGAACAATCCACTAAGAATCATTCCTATAAGTTAAAAAAAATATTATCAAAAAATTATTGAGGATATTTTTTTAAAGATCCTATCTGTATATAAAAATCGAAATTAAGGTCAATTCCTCTTTACATAAATTAGATAAAATATTAACGAACATATTATATGCTATTGTTCTTATTTCACCTGCGAATGTGACTCCGTTGAGTATCCCTTTATCTTCGAGAGAAAGATTCAAGTCGCATTCTGCTATGGGCAAAATGTAAGATATCCCAGTAGTTTCGGCGATTTGAATGGCACATGGAAAGATGATGCAAAACAGTAGAAGAAAATTATATTTCCCAAAACCTGTAGCTGTAATCGCATCTTCGAAAGTCGCCGGTCCCTGGCCTATGAAATTAAATTTTCCTTTATTAAAAAAATACGTCTGTAAAAATATGTCTTCAAATTATTTGAACACTTTGTATATATGTTACGGATAGAGCTAGATAAACTAAACCTAGGTATACCTGGGTAAACTACGAAATACCCAAGAAGCATGGGTAGCTAGGGTATGGTATACAGGGTAGGGTTTATATATTCTTATAGGAAAGGTTTTTTGGGTTTCTTAAGTTCCCGTTATGCCACGAGGAAACCACCCTACCCGCATTTCGCACTTTACCCTGGTAAACCTAGGTTTAGTCGTTTATCTAACTTTATTACCAGTAATATAAATATACGCTAGGTATTAATTAAGAATTTATTCTAATGAGTGAAAATAGGCACTTACTTTTTGAGCTTCCTATTAATTTATGCTCCTCCCTTTCGACTCCTGCTGATCCTTTCGGTTTTATAATATCTGTAATACTGGCAAGGCTGGCAAATTCATCCATTTTCGCTTTATTATACCGCAGTTAACTACGAATTAAATAGTTCGAGCCATTATCTCTATAAAATATCAGATCGGCATCTTGTCATGCGACATACATCCACTCTGATATCCACTTCACTTGTTACCTCATTAAGCAGAATTTAATTTAATTTTTATTCTTGTATCGCGATCATCGGATGATTTATCTTGAAATAAATTACAAAATCAATTGATTTGAAATAATAGAATGGTATTATCTAAAATTGGATAAAGTTAATGTAGTCGATAAAAATCATTGCGAATGTCGAAATGTATGTGATTGAATTTATTTTTAATTATTATATAATTACAGTTCATTAATATAATATCTTAAAACCAAGTTAATAATATGTTTTTGAATAAATTTTAACAAATGATTAGAACAAAATTATGATGTAATCAACCAAGCTTATAAATTTTAGGGAAACTAATGCATTATTTTGTGATTTATGCTTATTAATTCTAGCAAACTATAGCTTAATAACTCTGAATTATATTGCTATTAAAATTTACAAAAAAAGTTTAAAGCCAACTTTTCCTTATATAATTTTTGGCAGTTATACATATTCTCCGGTTAGGTAGATGTTAGGGGAGAGAAAATTAATAACTATATTAATAATCCTGATAGAAAAGTCATGAAAAAGTAAGAAGAAAATAAATACATCTTGACAGTTTTGACAAGTTGACAATGTTGACGTTGACATTTGACGTTTGATACTTTTTGCCTCCAACAAGAGTTTCAACTAAAAAGTTTTGTTTTAATTGTTTTAAAAGACATGCGAATTATTTATTAGTTTTCCTAATTGTTATCAAAATTCAGTCATGGAGTTTCTGGAATATTCGGATATATCCGCCGAAATTAAAGGATGCATGGTAAGTTTGTAAAATATAAAATAGGTAATGTGTTTTTATACTAATTTCACCTCGTTGTAGACATCCGGCAAATTGAAAATGACCGATCAAAATATAGTATTCAAAAACAGCAAAAGCGGAAAAGTCCAGCAGATTCCTTCGTCCGATTTTGATACTGTGAACTTTCAAAACTTCGCTGGTACTTGGGGTATTCGAGTATTTCTAAAGAACGGTACCCTGCACCGATTCATGGGCTTCAAGGATTCCGATAAAGAGAAAATAGCGAAATTCTTCACCAATTCCTACAAAATCGACATGCTGGAAAGAGAATTGAGCATGAAAGGATGGAATTGGGGCACTGCTAAATTTAACGGTTCCGTTCTTAGTTTCGAGGTTGATTCTAATAGTGCCTTTGAAATACCGTTGAATCACGTTTCTCAGTGTACTGGTGGCAAAAACGAAATAACAATGGAATTTCATCAGGTAATTTTTATGTATCATGGCCTTCTTTACAACTTGTGCATTATTTCTTATATAAAAGTCTCGAAAACTTTTATTTGAATGATTTTAGTGATTTTTATTTTAAAGTAAATAATTATTATTAAACTGTTTTATTATTATAGAATGATGACGCACCTGTTAGTTTGATGGAAATGAGATTTTTCATTCCATCCAGCGAATTAGCCGGAGATGTCGATCCAGTGGATGCGTTTCAACAGAGAGTTATGGATAAAGCGAGCGTTATTAATATTTCCGGAGATGCTATTGCTATATTCAGAGAAATACATTGCTTAACTCCGAGGTATGTTGCACATTAGCGTTTTAATTGGCGTTAATTGGAATGTACTTGAGAATCTAAAACAAGCTGAGGATTGCTATAATATCGTTTAAAAAAATTAAAATATTCCGAGTTGCCAACATTTTTTATAACTATTGACATTTTTTGAATGATATTGAGCAATCTTTAATGGAAAGTTATTCAACATGATACTATTTTTTTTATTTTTGTAGGGGTCGTTACGATATTAAAATATTTCAAACATTCTTTCAACTTCATGGTAAAACATTCGATTATAAAATTCCGATGACTACAGTGTTGAGGCTCTTCTTGCTGCCTCATAAGGACAATAGGCAAAGGTTTTTCGTCGTCAGTTTGGACCCTCCGATTAAACAAGGTCAAACCAGATACCATTTTCTGGTGTTCCTCTTTAACCAAGATGAAACCTCCATTGAACTCCCATTTACAGAGTAAGATTGTTTATTAGATATAACTTCAATAAGATATAAAAAAAACTAGCAATATACAGATAACTGCTAAGTTGTATGCAATGTGGTCTATTGGTGCAACAAAGACAATTCCATAAGTCTCATATGAAGGAAAAAGAGAGTAATATTGTGGGATTGTAATTTTCTTTTAACCACTAATAATCTTTCTTAGTTCAACTCATAGAATTGACCATATTGCTATTTAACAAATTTGCACTTACCTATAAGTTCTTGTCATAATTATGAACAAAATTTGAAGAATGAGAGGAATGAATTTAAAAACTCATGAAAGATTTAATGAAATCTAAACTGAAAATGTTCGACAATCTATTAAGGAATCAAGAGCAAATTGTTAGAAAATTGTACACTTTCGAATTAATTTTTTTAATAATATTCCTTGTTATGAACAGTGAAGAACTGAAAGACAAATTTGACGGAAGATTGAAGAAGGAACTAACCGGTCAAACTTACGAAGTTATGAGTAACATCATGAAAAATATCATAAATAGGAAATTGACCGAACCTGGCGCTTTTATCGGGTGAGTCGCTCGAACTATTCTTTCCAACAATTTCCTAATTTAAATTTATATGTTAGTCATTCCGGTACGCCAGCGATAAGTTGTTCGTTCAAAGCGGCCGCCGGTCTGTTGTACCCGTTGGAAAGAGGCTTCATTTACGTGCACAAACCGCCCGTCCACATACGATTCGAGGAAATCGCTTCGGTGAATTTCGCCCGAAGCGGCGGCAGTACCAGATCCTTCGACTTCGAGGTCGAACTAAAATCCGGCACGACTTACACTTTCAACAGCATCGAGAAAGAAGAGTACGGGAAGCTCTTCGATTTCATCACGTCGAAGAAATTGAACATCAAAAACAGGGGTAAAAATGTAAGTTCGTCCGATTGTCTACAATCGCTTAAGTCATAGCTTCTGTGATATCATTGGAAAATTGTTCTTTCAGGATAAAACCTCGCACATCGATGACTTTGGTGATTCCGATGACGAAGCAGCACCCGATGCGTATTTGGAGCGCGTCAAGGCCGAAGGTCAGGAAAGAGACGACGACGACGATGATGATGATGAAAGTACCGATGAAGATTTCAAACCGGGTCAAGACGAGAGCGATGTGGCCGAGGAATACGACAGTGATCACAGCAGTTCCTCAGAAGACGATGAAGAAGGAGGTGGTACGTTCGTTTTTATCGTCATATACGCGAATAATACACTAATTTGTTCACTATTTATTGAAGAATCTAAGAAGAAAGAAAAGGAGAAGAAGAAAGCTAAGAAGGTTTCTGAGAAACCACGCAAGAAGCGGGAGAAGAAGGAGAAGAGCGATGCACCCAAGAGGGCTGTGACAGCATTCATGCTGTGGTTGAACCACAACAGGGAGCGCATCAAGGAGGAGAACAAGGGAATTTCTGTAACCGAAATCGCTAAGAAAGGTTAGCTAATTGCTTTGATAACGAGTAAATTGTACTTAAATAATTTTTCAGTTTCGCACTCATTTTTCATTAAATAACAATTTGTAAGTGGTAATTTTTTTGTTTAGGTGGCGAGATGTGGAGAGAACTGAAAGACAAATCAGAATGGGAAGAAAAAGCGAAGAAGGATAAAGAACGGTACGAGAAGGACATGGAGGAATTCAAAGCCAAAGGTGGTTCCATCGAGAAGAAGTCATCGAAGAAGAAACCTTCGAAAGAAAAATCGCGCGCGCCTTCTCCGAAACCCAATGAGGATAGAATCAAGAGCAAAGAATATATCGAGGAGTCCGATTCGAGTTCCAGCGAGGACGAGAAGAAGAAGAAAAAGGCGGCTGCCAAACCGAAAGAAGATAAGAAAAAATCTGCCAAGGCAGATCCATCGGATAAGTCTGATCAATCTGAGAAATCGGAGGAGTCTGATCAGTCCGATAAATCAGATGAAGATGATGATGATGAGGAAAGGGGTGTCAAAAGAAAGAAAGATAGCGAAGAGAGCGATTAAGTTACAATTTGATCTGATTTCTGTTTGCAAGTTCCAATATTTTTCTTTCACTGTATATGCTAATTTTGCTATTAATGTTACAGGTATTAATTAATTAGAGTTCGTTCTTTTATATTTGAAGGTTTTTATTTTTAACCCGAATAACCCTAAATAAACATACGTTATTTAATTGGAAGAGTATTTTGCTTGGTGACTGACTAACATAATAGTAAAAGACAATTTTAATTTTCTAATGTTGAAAGTTGAAACCAATTATGCAAATATAAATTGCATGTATTATTTAAACTAAATATTTGCATTTGTAACAAGTTATCTGATATAACAAAATAACAAGATGAAGATAAAGAAATTTTAGTTTAAAAGTTCCATGTGAAGTTAGCTACTTATAAATTGTTTGTTAGGTGTCATCCGTCATAAACTCTGTCATTTGTCGTTGTCGTTTCTACTTTCTTTTGAGTTTTGAGTTTTGTCTACCGGATATGTAAATTAAATTTGCAAAAATTAGTTGCTTTTATTTAGATACATAATCCATTATCAACCGGGTAAGTACCTATGAAATCATTTCTTAATATTACATCATTAAATAACTCAAAAGTTTGTTTATTTTGCATTCATTTGTGTTCGGCTTTTAGTGCTTGTTTTAGCAGTTTTTTACCTGAGGAATCAAAAAAGAAACCATGACTTCGCCGCTTCTTATCGGCCCGACGCCCAATTTGGTTCAAAACATGTAAATATCCTATCTTTTAGTATGTACACAATGTGCCTATAATATAAATTTTCTTTATAGTAAATACACAGGTTCCGAGACTGAATTCTCCACTGAAATCAAAGGGGACAAAGTGATAATTCACTGTAATGAAGGCATTCACAATCATGGCAGTTCCAAAGTGAAACTAATTGATCGAATAGATTACAATTGGGAATTTCGTTACTACCATGGTCACCTAATTGCAGCTCATATCGGTGGGAAAGTAATAGCTTTTGGAATGAAAGGTATAATTTAATTTACAGCCTAGATAGAGCCTAATTTGAAACTCTTAGAAACACAGAAGGATGTTCTAAATAGAGAAGAATCTATGTATATTTTAATATGTACTTTACAGGTAAAGATGGCGGAATGGTACGAATAACAAACCAAGAAACAAATAATAGATGTTTAATAAAAAACCTAAAAGAGGACATTAAAGATCTAGCATTTGCGTTCACCAGCAAAGAAATCATCTTGGGCTGCGTAGATAGCGAGGGGAATATTTTGGTTTATCAGATAAACGATACACCCCACTCCATATCGTATCCTTTTTTTACATATTTTATATAATGGTTGATTATTTTATATGTACTAGTTATACAATACCTTAACTACAAACTTCAGATTTACTTTACTACTGCATATTTATCATCATGACTCATCGAGACCGAAAACCAATTACCGATTAATATGGTGCCCTTATTTATCTATCGATGACGAAGACACAGATGAAGAACCAGAGAAGATGTTTGTTATTCTAAACGGATCGAAAGGTGAGAATTATTTATTTTATAATTTTTGTTAATTATTGTTTTTTTTAGCCGAGGTCTACAATGTTCAAATGCTTACTTCTAAATACGACAAAGGACCTTTAGATCCGAATGAAAACTACGAGGGTTACACGGAAATTAAACATACTGCAGAGGTAGTCGATGCTTCATTTTCATCAGATGGTACCGCAATAGCCATTGCTTCGGTTGATGGTTATGTTAAGTTCTATCAGGTAATTATTTGACTAAAAACAACTATTATTACACAGATTGTATAAACAATTCTATTTTTCTGTAGTTGTACATGTCCGACAACAAAAACCAAAACTGTCTACACGAATGGATGCCTCACGACGGTGCTCCCCTTTCTTCGATCATATTCATCGATAACGTTTTGGAATACAGCGCCGAGTAAATATTCATTTTACTTCCTCCAAACAACTCGACTAATCTTCCTTGTTTCTAGATGTTGGAAATTTACTATAACGGCAGCCAAAAACAATTCAGAGATTAAATTGTGGTCGTGCGAAAGCTGGACCTGCCTCCAAACCATCATCTTCAAAGCCACAGCGTCCAGTTTAGTAACGGGTTTATACCTCCACATGAACATGGATTATACCGGCCAGTTTTTGCTAGTCTCCGACATCAACAATCGAGTTATTTACGTATTGGAATTGCAGAGGAACGACAAAGAGCAAATCGTGCACGTCACAAGCTTATCGGAGTTTCTCTTACCCGCTCCGTTTTTGAGCCTGCACATTTTAGAGGCCGGCAGGAATCTAATGACTACCTACTTCGACAACAGCAGAGAAGATTTGTACGATGATAGGGAAGATAACTACGAAGAAGAACAAGAACAGGTGCAAATCGTATTGAAGATGTTGGTGATACAACCGAAGAAGTTCCAGGAATGCAATATCGTATTCCAGCCGGAAGCTTTAGCTTATACTACGATGCCCTCCTATCCGGCTTTGAACGGAAACGAATTGCCAGACGAAGAACTAAAGCAAGACAACGATAAATTTCCGAAATTAGACGACCTACAAGAGTCTGTTACTCTGCTAATACAGCAAAAGAGCAGCGCCAATTTGACGCTAATGACACCCGACGATTTCACCTCGCCCACTCAATCGGACAAGCCCGTCAAAGAGGAGAACCTCATCGATTTTCAACGACCCCAGAAGGAGAACAATTTCGCAAGCGGCGGATCCAGTCCCAGCAGAGAAGTCCAGGAAATCCTCACCAATTACGCTAATCAAGATTTCTTCGATAATCTGGATAATCTTCGACAAAATGAAGGAGCAGAAGAATCCCAGAAGGCGAGCAGGCCTTACTCGGCGAATTTCCAAGAGACATCGTGGCCGGTGGCGCCGGTGGTACAAGAAAAAGATTTACTCAAAGACGAAGCGTTACGAAAAGAACTGGGATTGGATAAAACCCAGAAAAACCAATTGGACGTGTTGTGCTATCGGATGAGCGCTTTAGAGGAGAAAATCTCCAGAGATAGAGGTGATTTCTTGAAGGAATTGGAGCTGTTGATGGAGAAACAGCGGTTACATATGGTGAAGTTCATGGAAACCGTAGTACTGGAAAAGGTGGAAAAAGAACAGATGTTATCGCAGATGTTGAACAAATCTTTGACTGATAAAGTGCAACAGGTCGTAGCACAAGAAGTGAAACTGGTTATATTACCAGCGATTCGGAACCAGATGGAAGGTTATAAGGGTCAAATGGAAGCTCAGTACACTCAGAAAATGGCTGACACTGATAATATGTTAAAGGAGAATATTACGAAAGCATTTAATAGTAAGGTATGTTTTATAAGAAATATTGTGGGTTTTTAAAATGAATTTAAATCATTACTTAATTGTTTCAGACCCTCGCCGATAATCTGAGCCTCTCCGTAGTGAATATAGTAGCACCTAGTTTGGAAAAATGCTATCGTGACATAATAACATCTTCACTAATACCCTCTTGGGAAAGAGTTTGCGGACAGATGTTCCAGCAAATCAACGAAACGTTTACTCGCGGTACAAAGGAATGTAAGTACTTTGTACATCGTCTTCCACAAGTTATTAATTTCATAAAAATATTCGATAATAATGATTATTTGTGTACTGGTTAAATGACTTATCGAGGTTTGTTTGCAGACACTGCCTCCGTGGAGAGTTACATGGACAAACAGCGGCGAGTACAGGAGAAAGGAAAAGATTTAATTTTGCAAATGCAAACCGTTTCGGAAAGCATGAAAAGCAACGCGGAAAATCTAACTGGCGCTTTAACGGCTGAAATCCACAAGCAATTCAACAACGTATTCAAAAGGTTGGAAACTGAATGAATTAAAATTTATTAATTGTGTGTTCTAATTTTTGGAATTACGTTTACAGTATGAACGACAAGTTGTCGCACAGCGTTAGGGACATTGTCGCGGAACAAATCAAGCAAGGATTTAAAAGTCACGCGTCCGTTTTGGAAGATAGTGTTAAGAACGCTGTAAGATCCAGAGCTGTGACCCCATCGCCTAATATTGATTCACACGTAAGTATCCAGGTTACGCTTTTGCTGTAGATCTCCAACATAGGCCCTTACTCAGCGCTCCTTTTTAACGATAGTCAATCGATTCTTTCTTTTTCCAATTTATTAGACTCAGCTACACGGGTTATTCAAACTAAATCAATCATTTAAAGAGTATCTTTAACTTTACAGTTGTATATTGTTGTTATGGAGTAACTATGAACTTTGTTTACGTTAATACATAAAAAGTATTCGAACAACATGAACTTACCCATATATTTCAATTTCAGATCGTTTCATTGAGTCAAATCCAACTGTCGCTATCGAAGCACAGCTATCACGAAGCCTTCCAGCTGGCCCTCAGCGCAGAGAATTTGAATTACGTGATCTACGTGTGCGAACGCGTCGATACCCAGACACTGTTTTCCGAGGAATGCGCTCTGCCTCAAAGTTGCCTGTTGTCGCTCATCCAGCAGCTCAGCATGGAATTGAACAAAAACACCGATTTGAAGTTGAGGTGAGTGTCCAAATTGGAAGATTGTTAATCTCTTTAGAAGCATATTGTAGGGTCTTTAGTACCATTTATCTCGTGTCGCTTGGTCTCTGTTTATCCCATTAAAAGTACTGCAGTACTTTTGAAACACTATTACTTAGTTGCTTGAATGCATAGTAATAATGATTAAAGATTAATGGCTTATCAATGAATTACTGTCTCATTAATCGAGCATCATTCACTGATCAAAAAGTAGCGATTGCCTGCAATGATGGACAATTAATGAACCATTATCAACAATTTGGACTGCACGAACACCAACAATAATGGGTCGTGGGTTAAAATTTTCATCTTATTTCTGTGCTTCAAAGGAATTATGAGTAAATAGTTCTTATTATAATTAGAAATAGGTTAGAGACAATTAAATTTTGTTGTGTGATTATATTGAAGCAATAGTTTTTGTCAATTTGGGATTTCTGTTTAATGTTTTTGTTCTCTTTGGTTAATTTTCTATTTAATTGTTTTCAGTTACATCCGGGCAGCGTTTTTGTCGCTTTCCATGGATTGTCCGACGACGAAGCAATTCATTCCCAAATTGCTAAGTGAGCTGATGAAGCAATTGAATAATTTCATCAAAAGCAATCCTCCGTTCAGGCACGTGAAGGAGGCGAAACTCCTTAAAATGGCTGTGGAAAGTACGTTAAGTTAGAAAAAGAAACCCCCTCGTTTTTGCGTTCCTTTTATTTAGTTGTTTAGTTACTTAGTTGTCGTAAGTATGATTAGTTGATTTGCCAATTCTCGTAATTATTTTTTTATAAAAAAAAGTCGCTTTTAAGTTGTATTTTCTCTTGTTGGATGTTTGTTACAGTTTCGCGTTTTGCATAATACATTGTATGTAAGAAAAAAGTGAGATCTTTGTTGTATTAAGTACCTTCGTACCTTTGTCGATGAAAAAAATATTCGAATTGAGCGCAGATTCCACTGAATTATGAGTAAAATGAACCGATTTGATTTCCCTTAACAGAAAGTATCGATTTCTAACACTCCTGGAATCGATTGTTAGATTGGGTTATATCGAATCGACCTGCTTAAGTAACTTAAATTTAAAATGGTTTTACAACCTTTCGCGTACAAAAAAATAACCTAAGGTTTCAAATTATCCAAAATCCAATCCATATAATAAGCAACGTTGGTGTAAACTCCAGGATACCCTTCTAAGCCGCATTCTCTCGGACCAAAAGATACAACACCTTGCTGGATATACCTGGCTGCTTCGTTGAAGAACGTGGCCTCGTGAATGGGCCCTCCGCTATCTCCCGGACAAGCGTCCTGGTTATTCTTTCCTCCAGCGCATATCTGCTTTTCGGTAAGTTTCACCCGACTCTGGGACTTGTAGATATTGCTGCAAGTTTTCAGGTCTATCGTTTTGAGGCTCACCTTTTGCAATATGTCGCTAGTTCTGCCTAGAAAAAAAATCGTTTACTCCGAGCTTATACCGGGTTGAAGAATAAATTGTTAATAAAACACAGTGAGAAAGTGCAATAGACACGCGATAGTTATTAAAATGAAGCACAGGACTTTGGTAAATTTGAGGCTTTTAAGTTTATAGTAGAAAATTGTATTAAACTGACCTGACTCGATATCTACTACTCCCCATCCTGTCACTATGTAATACGATGGTTTCGAGTTTCTGAGATCACCCAATGGCAAACAAACAGGTCGAATGTTTTCTAAAAGAAAATCATATTAAAATTCTAGATTTCTTCAATAAACCTTTCTTCGTAAATTTAAAGACGCAATGCATTAACTCACCTAAGTTAATGTTTATCTTGTGCACTCTAATCAGAGCAATGTCATTCGATATAGTGTAAGAGTTATAATCGGGGTGTACAATATTCTGTTCTACGGCCACATTCTGAACTCCAGGAGTGCATTTTACTTTACCGTTTATCATCGTTACGCAGTCATTTCGAGTCGCAAGATTGTACTCTCCCACTCTGACAGTACTGCAAAATAAATACATGTTTTATAAGTAGTTTATTCAAATTGAATGCGCAACTTACTAAGGATTCTGCGAAGATTTAATGCAATGCGCAGCCGTCAAGATGTATCTTTCGTTGATGATGGTACCGCCGCATTGAAACTGCACGCCTTTGCCTGCAATGAGGAAAAATTGATAGTACCCAAAGATTGATGCGAATTAAAGGAATCATAACTTCCCAATTGCTAATTATCTAAACAATATTTTGTGAGCATTACTTCAGTTTTGAATTGAAATTTTTTCGACTCAAATGGCACTCAGTTTAGTAGATGAGTATTTTTAGTTCTACAACCGGGCATGTTATGGACAAAGGTTAATTCTACTATAGGAGAAGACCACTCAAGATACATGTAGAAGCGAAAGGTAAGAGGAAAAGGTTTTAAAACCATAAAACATTTTCCTTTAAAGCAACACCAAGGTCCTCGAGGCAAAACCTCTTCCTTTGCACTTCTTTTTATGCATGTACCTTGAAGCAATTCGTTCATATTTTGAAAGCAAAAGCAAATCAAACATGAACCGGAATTTTGCTTTAGAAGATTCATCTTGCTCGGACATGTTGGTACTAGAAGCCAATCGGCTCTAACGAGTCGAACCTTTACTCACCTTTACTTTACATCTCCATGCAACTTTTATTAAGACGTCATGTTACTCGCTTCACCAAGGAACCGTTAAAAAGAATAGTCCGGTTCACATTTGATCCGCCCTCATCGTAGTACAAAATAACAACCTGCTTACTTGATCTGTATCCAAGGAGAGCCATCCAAGGAAACTCGTTCAATTCAGCGTTCTGACCGTTCCTTATTTTGTCATTGGCATCGTCGAGGTACCCGCAATCGTACGGCAACAGTCCCAAATTCCTGTGCCTGGAGACGTCCGGCGGACCCGAATCGGAACCGCCCCCATTTAGAGTTATCGTCCCGTCCGGGCAGCAAATCTTGGTCTCCCCGTTGTCACTGCCGCACACGTACCTGTTGACCTCCTGAGAAACGCTCTGCGGCACCGGCCGCCCGACGAACTGCAGGGCTTCGAGCATCGGCTTGCACCGGCGCACGACTATGCAGGAGCCGTCGGCGTCGTTCGGCGTCTTGCAGTTATATCTGCTACCTGAAAAATTTCATATCAGCTTGAACTAGCTGAATGTCGGAATCAATTTAAAGTACCATGGTGTTGTCCGTTGTTGGAATTCCCCGTAGGGAGTACTATGGGACCGTTGGGGCAACAAACGTGAGCGCCGGGGCTTCCGGAGCGGCAAACGTACCGGTTCAGTTGCTTCGTAACGCTTTGCGGTACCGGCCTATGTAGAGTTTGGAGGAAGTTCATCATGGGTCTGCAGTCCCTCACTAGCACGCATGAACCGTACTCCGAATTCGGCGTCATGCAGTATTCGTTGTAATCTACAACATACAGACATTAATTTTAACAATTATCTGGTAACGTTAAATACATAAATAAATCGCACATTATTGTGTTTTTATATGGTATGTAACAATGCTATACTCTATTTCCAAAATAGTAGGCCCTAATTTCTCTGAAATATTGTCGCTTTTCTTATTTATTACATAATCCTTGCTCTTCTAATTATTAGTCTCCTGCTGATTTTCCCGTCATACACACTTGTAGCCTACGATATTTTCCGTACGCCACTGGGAGAGACCCATTATCGCAATCATTTCTGAGAATTTAGTGCCTACTATTTTGGAATTAGTGTATAGTACCTACCTATAGTATAATCGTAGAAAACCGCCAAAAAATTGTAAAAATATCATTAAATATTCATTTATTCGAGTATTAAAAAGAGGAAACTCATTTTGAATATGCTTGAAAAATATACATTTTTATTACTTAATTGATCTTAATTAATCTCTATAAATTAACATAATTCGTATTGGTACGGTTCTGTAAGTAGGTAGGTATAACCGAATATGACTAAGAAAGGAAATAAAATTTTGAAACAAACCCAATCGGAAATTACGCCTCATTATATTTTAAGCGATAATTATATGGAATTATAATTTTTAGACAGACTTGTTGATTATTAAAGCGATTTTATTCCAAGAAAACCATCAACAAAAAAAATACAAAATAAATTTGAAAAAAAAAATTAATTGGGTAATTCTTGTTTTTGAATAATTATAATTTATTGATATAATAGGGGTATAACTATTTTAAATAATAGCTGTTAAATTATCTTTATATTTTCATATACATATAAGTTGTCGAGTTAATCACGAAAATAAATAGATAATAAACTCACAAAAGCGATATATTATTATGTACATAAAATACTTACAAGCGTGTTAATTTCATTACTATCTAATAAGCGACATAAAATGAACATAAAATTAGAATATCAATGCATCTACCAGGATTATTCCATAATTAAAAGTTAATTTTCAAACAAATAATGTAATTGTATCATCGATTTATCCTTGTATGTAAACGAAGTATCTGTTAGTGGTATTTTTTTAAATACATTTAAATTTAATATGATAGTGTTTGATAATGAGTCGTAAAATGAGGGGAGATATTTTGCATTTTTGAGTTTTGTATTTTTATTAAAAATAGTTAATAAATCCAAGAAAGTAATGTTTATTGTTTTTAGTTTCTAAATCTGTATGCATGCAATGTGTATATTATTAATTTCCTACTAATTATTAATTAATTAAAACTAATTATTAATTGCACAGAATACAGTTGTGTATTAAAAATTTTATATCATTCCTAATATGAACAAAAACGTGTATAAAAATGTGCACGTTATTTTTTTTTATTGAATTCTGAATCTTTACCAGGGTTAAATAACCATAAATACTTTAATTTTTCGACAACCTGTATACAAAAAGTCACTAATATTTAAACAGAAAGTAATTTAAACTATTATTTAATGTAATCACTCCCTTAATTTTCCGACACAATGATTTAAACCACCCCATATTTATTTCTTTCCCTCACCATTTACTAACGAGATGATTGAACTTACCATCGTAATGCAACAACAAAGGGTTTATTTCCGGCGCTTCGAAGTCGCGTAAATCACGTAAACCTTTAAATTAAGTCCTTTTGTAATTATCTAATGCAAAATCGCTTTGTATTTATTTGCTTTGTACTTTTTGTTTTTTGCGCGAAGATTTTCTGTGCGAATTCGGTCCTGTCTTTGGAATAAACGCAGTGATATCCGTTTAATTTATGGAAAATACGTAAATATATAATTTAATCGAGACTGTAGAAAAATAGGATAAATGCTAAATGGCGCCCATTAAAAAAATCTACATAGATGAGTAATTTAGCTTGAATTTTACAGGGATTTTTATAGGATTTTTTTGGGAAAATACGCCTATATAATGTACAGTGTATTCTTTGTTGTGAAATATTTTGTGGCGTGTACCTACAATTTTGGAATTTTTTGTTTGTTGAATTAATTTTTACATGGAAAATATATAAAAAATTTTAATGACACACTCCGATAGAATTTAAGAATTTCCATAACTTAACCGTAACCTACCTACTTATAATACATATCCAGTAATTACAAATTTTCGAACTCTAATTAAACGAGCTCTAACTGACCAAATTCAATTAACAACAAGCAAATTATCCAAAGAAACTCACCTTGACATTTAGTAACGACGATCAAACACCCGACAGATAAAAGCGCTCTCAAAAACAAATACATCAGTCTAGTCCTACAACCTTACAATATACAAAACACGGCAAAATACGGCTTATACAATAAACAACAACAACTATGAACAACGACCAGTGACCACGTATCCACACCGCTTCCTCTCCAAGTTCTCGTTCAACTGGTGCGGTTGTGATAGGTGACGTAGTAGGCAAGACTTCATTAGCAACAAAATACTTGTTATTGTAATTAAATGGTGGAAGAAAAAGAGTGGAGAAGTGGACGATTCACCTTGTGTCTCTAACTCGACTTTGGCTAGTTTTCAAATCGTTATGATTGATATGATGCGTGTTGACAAACGCGATTCGATTAGGATTATCGCCGCGTGCAACATTTTTACAAAAATTATACATTTTATACTTGTAGTTTGAAAACAATAGGTTCTTTGAAATAGCAAGTATAAACACTAGAAAGGAAAAACGTGGCAAAACCAACTTACACTTTAGTTTTTCTGTATTAGTAAGTTTATGAAGCTATGTAAATTAATATCTATTTTCGGGTAAAACAATTCAATTGACTGAAAAGTGTTGAATAGGTACATATTTGGAAAACTTACATCGGTTTAGATTTTTTAAGATGGACTTCACAGACATCTTTTATTAGGTAAATAATAATTTCATAAAAATTGTTCATCGACAATTAGGAACTTTTAGAACTTTTAGGCCTATCATTGTTGACTAATAGCAATGAGACATGGAAATATTTGAACAAAACCATCGCATAAACTTTAGATTAACTTAACTTATTATTATAATCCTAAGAAGAAGCAGAAACACTGGTAGGTGAGTTTCGGCCTCTTCTCTAGTAACTTGGTGGTTCCTTGGATTAAAAAAAAACGATTCGAATAAAGTACAAACAAATCAATTCAGATTTAATATAAATTAAATACAATCGATTCGATATATTTGCAACAAATAATAATAATTAGAATTATTATCGGCTGTACAACAAGCTTATGGTTTCAACGTATCTAAAATCCAATTCATGTAATAAGCTACATTGCTGTGAACACTAGGTTTGTTCCCAAAGCCGCATTGGTTTGTGCCAAACGATATTACACCCTGTTGAATGTACTTTGTTGTTCCGTCGATTGTTGATTCATATTGAATTGGCCCCCCACTATCTCCTGAACAGACATTTTCTTTATTTCCCCCGGCGCATAATTGCTTTTCGGTAATTTTCACTTGGTAACTATAGTGACGTTTGCATGTTTCTAGGTCTACCATTCTCACGCTGACCTTTTGCACAATATTGGGACCTGTAAAATATATAACATATAAAATAATTATAGTTTACTCTCGTTTAAGTGTTTTCAAAATGTTCATCTCACGGCATGAACTCATACAATATGTCAAACAGTAAAATAAAATGGGTCTTAGAAACCTTAAATATTTTATTTGATAATGTTCTTTACTGACTTGTTTCATTATTCGTAAGTCCCCATCCTACCGCTATGTAATTGTCGGACATCGCGTTTCTGAGATCACCTAATGGTAAACATATGGGTTGTACGTTTTCTAAAAGAAAATCATTGCTCTATCCATCTTGATTCGTAAATCTAACGCAATCTATTAAATTTACCTATGCTTATGTTCATCTTCGGCATTCTAATTAGAGCAATGTCATTAATTAGAGAATAATCATCAAAATCCGGGTGTGCAATTATCTGTTCTATGGCCACATTCTGAACTCCAAGACTACATTTTACTGTGCCGTTTTCCAACGTTGCGCAGTCCTTTCGAGTCGACAAATTGTACTCTCCCAGTCTGACTGTACTGCAAAACGAATGTATATTTTATAGGAAATTTATTTAAATTGAATATCCGACTTACTTAGGGGGACCCTGATTAGTTTTTACGCAATGCGCGGCCGTTAAGATATACCTTTCGTTAATTATGGTACCATCACATCTATACTTTGGACCATCGACTGTAATGAAGAAAAAATAGATGAAACGCAGGTACAAAAATAGAACTCTAGCAACACCTATTATGGGTACTGTGTGTGGAAGCGTGTGGAAAATTTAAATTCTAAATATATTCTTCAAAGTGTAAAGGGCCCTGTACACGTTGGGCCAATTCGTTGGCCCAACTAGTCGGCCCAAAACAGACTGAGCACTCGACCAACGTGTAATTACTATTCCCACTTATTGGCCCAACTAGTTGGCCTGGAGGCCTGGAGGTATAACGTGTATAGGGCCCTTAAGAGTTACAATAAAAGAGCATGTCGGTTAGGTATATAACGATGCAGGATTTTATGAATAGCAAGTATTATACGTATAATTATTAATAAGAATGTGTGCATTATTATCATTTCTATAACGTGTGTGGTAAAAACAAAAGTTTAGTCTTCTCCATATATGGCAAATAATTCTTTACAGTATGAATATTAATAACCTGCTTACCCGATCTATATCCGAGAAGAACCATCCAAGGAAATTCATTCAATTTAGTATCGATTCCGCCCAATATCTTGTTATTGAGTAAGTTGGGTTCCCCACAATTCTCTGGCAACAATCCCAAATTCCTGTGAAAGGAGACGTCAGGCGGTTCTGAAAAGTGATTAAATGAGTAAGAATGTAAGTGTAAGTAAGATTCTAGTTAAAATTGCACCAAATCACATTATTTTTCGAATCACAGCTAATATTATAACAAAAAAAAAACAATTCTAAATAGCATCATTAGAATTCTTAGTTTATGTGAAAATAACACAGAATCACAGGATTTTCCGAATCAGAAGTAAAATAGTTGTAAATTAAAAAATAGATACCCAGTTTTTGTACGTAATTAGAACTCCTGGATTGGATTACTATGGGATTGCCGGTGCAACAAACGTGAATGACAGGATTCGAACTGCAAACGTACTTATTCAATTCATCCTTAAGATTTTGTGCTACAGGATATTTTAAACTTCTGAGAACTTTGACCATTGGTTCGCAGTCTTGCACTTTTACGCACAATCCTTGTTCCATATTCGGCGTCATACAGTCTTCCTCTGAATATACAAGATCACCTGCAAAATTTATATCTACTGAATTGTATTTTAATTGAAAAGGTTTCCAGTGCGTTAATAAATTTATCGTTTGCATTATTACCTCCATTGAAGATTTCATAATCAATTAATGAAATTAATAAATTGGTAAAAGGTTCACATATACAAATAAAAAACCGAAATTAATAATTTGACTCAGAAGAAAAACTGAGAGACTTGCAAGACCGGTTCATCAACAATTACAATTTATTTAATTTTATTAGTAAAATAGGAAATAAAATCTTCCAAGGAAAATCCAATTAATTTCCGGAAATTCCATCTCGTTACTAATTTAGGTTATAATTAAAATTGCAATGAACTTTGTCATACATATGTTAATAACCTTGACCGTTATCTAAAGGATTGTTTTGAATGAAACAAATCTGGAAAACCCAGGATTTTTATACAATCATCATCACAAAATTAATGCTCCCAATCAGAAGTAAACTAATATCTACACTAATTTGAAGAGAATAAAAATTCTAATCATTCAAACACTTACTGTCCTTATTGAAAAAGATTCATTACAAGTAAATTATTTTACCTTCATTTTGAGCAGCAACTGTCAGACACCCGATCGACAAAATCACGCTTAGGAAGGAATTCATTTTGATTAACATACTTGGCATAATATCTCGTTAGGAGTGGCAAATAAATGAAATAATTCGGTGTTTTTAAGGGACAAAACAGTGGGGCATCGCTAATAAAAATAGTCATATCAATATAAGTGATAAAGGAGGTCAAATGTTATCAATGACAAAGTGCAGATTTATTATTTACTTCAGCAAAAATTATAAATAATAATTAACGAAAATATAGGTACTATTTCCTGTAAAATTTCCTGAAGTTTACAGAAAGCTCTGTAAAATTGATTATGCCGAGCTAAAGACGTAAAATTTTCTGCGAAGATAGCTTAAATGTCTTTGAGTCCACCAAATAGCATCATTCTCACACACTCCAAAGGGTCAAACGACCCCATTGAATAAGACCATGTTCAAAAAACTAACTTTCTGGGGAATGTTATAAGCCCTTTAGGATGTATTTTTTCTAACGAACATCCCCAAAAGATAGGGAAAGCTATATGAAAGTTTGGAACTCCTCATACATTTACCACCTCTTTATTGTCCATGAGGGGGTTGTGTTAGTGAGTTATTCTGGTTCGTTGGGTATATTCTAGATTAAAGAGGATTATTGTAGTAAAATCCGATCTAAAAATGCAATCAGGTACCAGGGCGATTTTTCAATCCGCTTGTTTCCAAGCTTCCAAGGGTCAATTGTTAAATGTATTTCATATAATAAAGGAATTTGATGATTAATTATAGAGAATTCATGGTACGATAAATAAAGCATAAATAAATTATAAAGCATCTATTAATAAATCATATCTAAAAAATTAAGGTATCAACGTATCTAAAATCCAATCCATGTAATAAGCTACATTTGTATTGACGCTGGGTTTCTCGTCTTCGCCGCACTCTCTTGGACCAATCGACACTACACCATATTGAATGAATCTGGCTTGTCCGTTGTAAAATCTGATCTGTTGAAGCGGCCCTCCACTATCACCTCTGCAAGTATCTCGATTATTTCTTCCTCCAGCGCATATTTGTTTTTCACTAAGTCTCACCCGCCTCGCTAAACGATAATTGTTGGTACAAGTTCTAAGGTCTACCACCGGCATGCTTACCTTCTGCAAAATTTCGCTACTTCGGCCTAGAAAAATATGGTTAATTTGAAATTTAAGTGGTCTGATGCCTGTTAGATCTTCGAAACTTAATCTACTAACCTAATCGGGTATCTGATACTCCCCATCCTGTCGCTATTAAATACTCGGGAATGGAGTTTCTGAGATTATCTAATGGTAAACATATCGGTCGAATGTTTTCTAAAAGAAAATCATTATTCTATCCACCTTGTTTCGTAAATATAAAGACACAATTTATTATATTACCTATGTTTATGCTAATCTTTTGTACTCTAATTAGAGCAATGTCATTAGTTATAGTTCGATTATTATACTCGGGATGTATAATACTTTGTTCTACTGCCAGATTCTGAACCCTAGGAGAGCATTTTACTTTGCCGTTTAATAGCGTTACGCAGTCATTTCGAGTCGCAAGATTGTACTCTCCCACTCTGACAGTACTGCAAAATAAATACATGTTTAATAAGGAGTTTATTGAAATTGAATGTTCAACTTACTAAGGATTCTGCGGAGATTTAATGCAATGTGCAGCCGTTAAGATGTGCCTATCGTTAATTATTGTACCGCCACATTTATACACTGTACCACGATCTGTAACGAAAGAAAAAATGGAATTTTAATACATGAGAAACATTTTATTTAGAAATCGAGCATTACTTCTTATAGGAACTACTTACTAAATTTTCACATATTGTGTGGACAATTTAAATTTTAAATTATTCTTCATACTGTAAGAATTGCTAAGAGTTACAATAAAAGATGCAGTTTAGTAACAACAGAAGTTTCGCATGCTCCATATAAGGGCGAAAGATTTGTAAGTTATTTTTTAGGTAAATATTAACCTGCTCACACGAACTATATCCAAGAAGTGCCATCCAAGGAAACTCGTTCAATTGAGCGTTTCGACCATTCACAATCTTATCGTTGCCGACGTTATTGTACCCGCAAGTATCAGGTAGTAATCGTAGGTTCCTGTGTCTGGAGACGTCCGGCGTTACTGAAGCGGAGCCACCATCGTTGAACGTTACCGGTTCATCCGGACAGCATACCTTGACACCTCCATTTTCTATTCCGCACTTGTATTTCATTATCTGTTGACTTAAACTTGGAGATACCGGTCGTTTCAGTGACTTCATGGCTTCTAAAATCTGCTGGCAGCTATTCAAATTGATGCAGGAGCCATCAGCGCCGGCTGGTGTCTTGCACTTTCGATGGTAATCTGCAATATTTATCCCTACATGAACGATATAAAATAAATGTGTCATCTCTTCTCTTCTTGAACACTCCTGAGTATGGAGATCCAAAAAATAAAGTGGACCAAGGCCTTTATAATGCATTATCGGTGCTTCAAGTCAAAATAATACAGAATCCCAGTATTTTCCAAGTCAGAAGTAAAATAATAGTAAATTAAAAAAATAGGTACCCTGGTTTTGTTCGTCATTAGAATTCCTGGCTTGGAGTACAATAGGATTGCTGGTGCAACAAACGTAAATGACCTCATTTGAACTGCAAACGTACTTATTCAATTCATCCCTAAGATTTTGTGATACGGGATATTGTAAACTTGTGAGAACTTTGACCATTGGTTTGCAGTATTTTGCTTCCACGCACCATCCGTGTTCCATATTCGGCGTCATGCAGTCGTACTCGAAATCTGCAATATCAAAATTTTTGCAATATCATTGCAAAATTAGTATTGCATTGTACTGGAATTGAAAAGGAGTCTAAGGCGCTAATAAATTAGCTTTGCATTATTAACTGCATTGAACATTTCATAATTACTTAATACCCCAAATTAATGATTCAACTCGGAAGGAAACCGAGAGACTTGCGATTAAAAATTCATCTACTGGTTAATCAACTACATCTAATTTGGGATGCATATTGAGAACCAGCGTACCGCCTTCCAAGAAAAACCCAAAGAATTTTCGGAAATTCCATCTCGATACTAATTAGGTTATAATTGATAATTGCAATGAACTTTGTCATATATGTAAATAACCTCTGGACCTCTATCTGAAGATAGTTTTTAATAAAACAAATATGGAAATACCTAAATATCCAATAAAAAAACTGGTGATAAAATTGGATGCATAATAATGAAACTTTATTGTAAAATCGAAAGTCAAAAATTTCCCTAATAGTAAATTATAGTTTCGAAACTGCATTAAACAACTCTAATTCTTTAAACTCAAATTGAACAAATTTATTAACAAAATCAGTATTTGATATTTTCATTCTCTAAGAAGTATAAAATTTCAGTACTATCGGAGAAAAATTTCGGGAAAAATCAAACAGCTCTAATTAAAGAAACTTACCATCACATTGAATAACAACTATTAAACATCCGAAGGTTAAAATCACCCTTTGAAAGTAATACATTTGTTTAGAAATTAAATTAATTAACAAGGACTTGTGACCGCCGTGAACCTACTTGTCTCCTTTCTTAGTTATTATTAAACTTATCAATTAACAATTAACAACCAGTTATTAGAACAACTATACACAAACATATGCATATCTTTAAATATATCTAATGTAGTGAATCAATGTTATATCTTAAGAGGATATACAGGGTGGCCCAGAACTCATGCCCCACCAAGAAATGCCTTATGGCAACAACAATGGAGATGTCAAAACTGCAGCCAAAAACATGAAAAATTTATTCTTTTAGTAAATAAAGAGGTTTAAAGTTGTCCAATCCCAGTAGCAGTTCACATACGCGAAAATGCCGTGAATTAGCTATACACCAATTTGACATTATTGAAAGATTCTATTTCCTTTACACTTTCAAGGTTAATAAAAGATGCCAAAATCAGCTGCGACTATTTCTCAAAGATTCGCATCCAAATCGATCATTCAGGAGCTCCGTCGTGCTGATTCCAAACCTACAGAATTTTTTATTGCTTCAAAAGTGGTTCGAATCGAATGATCCATTTTTTGATCGATTTAAAAGCTAATTGAGCATTGTCGTTTCCATAAGGCATTTCCCGGTGGGTCGTGAGTTCTGGGCCACCCTGTATTGTGGCGATTCATTGGTTATACATAGGTGAATATTCATTGGGAATTTTCAATGAAGCAAAAAAGGATATGGAAGAAAGGGATATGCCAGTATGATATCAAAGAAGATAAATATTTTCACATCATGTTCATATCACATAAAAAATAACAAAGGAAGTCGGAGGCTGAATTGTGCAGGAACGGCCTGGATTGTTTATACCTCGAAATATTGTTCCTAATGTATTGCAATTCAAGCGAGATAAAGCATTAAAAAGTAGAGATGTGTTCAAATTTTTTTTGTATCTAATCATATGCAGGGTATTCCTAAACATCGTATACATCCGAAAGGGGGTGATTCCTTGGCTTATTTTATGACTAAAAGTTCATATAAACGTGGGTCCGCAAACGCTTCGTTACCGATCTACAGGGTGTTGAAATTTCATTTTTTTTTGTTTTTTTTTGTAGCTCCTGCACTTTTTTTGAGTTATACACGATGTTTAGGAACACCCTGTATAGTGGCATTTATGTTGTATCCAGAACTATCTACGAGTTTACGCAACGCTATAAAAAACGCTATAAAAAATATTTGAAATTTCTGCGATATCTTATCGTTTTATAAAAAATAAATTTTTATTCCATTTTTTCTCCTTGCACCAAACCTGGATTATTTATTTTAATTAGAATGTATGCTTTTAGATTAGAATGTATTGATTAGTAATTGTGGGTAATTACCACTGTTTATAAACAATTTATAAACGCTTTTATTTATATATTTATCCGTATTTGTTTATTTCGCTAATCTTTATTTTATTTTATTTTATTTAGGTTTTGAATTTTTGTTACAGTTACATTTTGTTACATTTTACATTTACATTTGGCATTATGAAAACAGCGGGTTGGTTCTCTTACAACTAATACCTGAAAATATAAAATTTTATATAAAACAAAATCGTGCGAATCGTAGAGCGTGTAAATCAATCCTGTTAAATTAAAATGGAAATATCATTTTGTGGTATAAATTTGAATTGTGGAGAGAATTAATTTTAATGAAGTAATTAAATATTCATTTTTAAAATAAATCAAGGTTTCAACGTATCCAAAATCCATTCCATGTAAGAACTGACGTTGGTGTAAACACCAGGCATCCCATCTATGCCGCACCCTACTATACCAAACGACACTATGCCATGTTGAATATACCTGGCTGTATTATTGTAAACATCAGTCATCTGCTGAATGGGCCCTCCACTGTCTCCTTTGCAGGAGTCTTGATTGTTCATCCCTAAAGCGCATATTTGCTTTTCGGTGATTGTCGCCCTCAAACCACTATATCTATTCTTGCAAGTTAGATTGTCTACCTTTTTGATTTCTGCCTTCTTCAAAACTTCGCTACCCCTTCCTAAAAAAGATATTGTCAACTTTAACTTTTGTTGTTCTGATATACCTCATGTGCTTCCAGTGAGAAATTATTATTAACAAAAAGAATGAGTACATGGTGCGATGCGCTTATACCAAAGGATGTATGTAGTAAAATAGAATGATGGAAAACATTTTTTTTGTTTATATGTAGTAAACACTGACCTGTCCCGACAACTACTACACCCCATCCTGTCACTATGAACTTTTCAGATTTCGAGGTTTTAAAAGTCCCTAATGGCAAACATATAGGTCGAATGTGTTCTAAAATACAAACATTAACTTTATTCATAAATCTAAAATCAATCCATTAAATTACCTAAGTGAATGTTCATCTTCTGCACTCTAATTAGAGCAATGTCATTTTCATAACTACTGCTGGAATATTGAGGATGTACAATACTTTGCTCTATAGCCACATCCTGAACTGGTAGATTGCATTTGAATATGAGATTTCCGATTGAGGTACAGTCTGTTTCAGACGAAATATTGTATTCTCCCACTCTGACTATACTGCAAAACAAACGTATAATACTTTATAAGGAGTTTATTGAAATTGAGTATTCGACTTACTAAGGATTATACATTATGCAATGCGCAGCCGTTAAGATGTACCTATCGTTAAGAATGGTACCGCCGCATCTGTATAATGTACCTTTATCTGTAATCAAGAAACAAGTTTTAAAAAAATATTTGATTAAGTCAATTTCAGACATGCACTTCACTGGTAATAGTAGAAAATTATTTTTTGTCCTCAAAAAAAAGTGTTTCTAGGCATGAGCTATTTATTGGGGCCCTAATTCTATATTTACAAGTTGGTTTGGTATGGAGCAAGATAAATTTTAATTCTCCTCTATTAAGGGAATAATGAAGTTATCATTGCTATAAGAGAAGTTATGATACTACAGAACGGTTATTTTGAGATTAATATTAACCTGATTTGTATCCCAGAAGAGCCATCCAGGGAAACTCATTCAATTCAGCTTCTAGACCGTTTCGAATCCTTCCGCTGATGATGTCGACGTACCCGCATTGATCCGGCAGCAATCCTACGTTCCTGTGCCTGGATAAATCTACCGGTCCTGACCTGGACGAAATGGGCGAATTGAACGAAGTGGACGAAATGGACGAAATGGACGAAATGGACGAAAGGGACGAAATGGATCCATCATCATGGATAATTATCGGCCCGTCGGGGCAGCATACCTTCTCTTCGCCATTTTCTGCAGCACACACGTACTTGTGCATGTGTTCAACAACTTTTGGAGATTTCGGTTTTCTCAGTGACCTCGCGATTTCGAAAATCGTCTTACAGCTACTCAAACTGACGCAGGAACCGTCGACGCCGTCTGGTGTCTTGCACTTTTGATGGTTATCTGCAAATATATACCATATATAAGCGAGATAAAATGATGTATCATCTAGTCCTTTCTCTTAAATGAAGTCTCCCCTCACACTCTAGAGAACCTGTATATAGGTTCCCTAATTTAACTAACATTTATTAATTGAAATTTCTTTTGTTAAATTGTTTTCATTGTTAATTTTAAATGATTTTTATGCCTTTTGGTAAATGATAAAGAAACTAATTTTGATAAGTAATTTTACAAATATTTCGTTGCATTAAATATTTTTATTCTTTTATGCAAAACAATTTTAAGTGTGTGTAGTTACAAGTATTATACTAGTAAATAAAAAATCTAAGTACCATAAATGATATTTTCATGATGAGAAGGACTTGGGGTCACCGAATTCAGGCTATTCTTGGGGCAACAAAAGAGAATGGTTGGATTCTTGCTGCAAACGTACTTGTTCAATTGATCCCTAATAATTTGCGGTACGGGATTTTGTAAACTTCTGAAAACCTTCAACATGAGCGGGCAATCTTTCAGTTCCACGCACGAACCTGATTCCGAATTCGGCGTGGTACAATCGTTATCTGCAATATCAAATAGGAAAATTGGTTGGATTCCAGTGAACCTGGTCTCTATGGTAAAGTGTAAAAAATAAGAGGAAGAGGCAAATAATAAAAAAGTAAGAATTACACTATGTTCATTTTTAGCAATAATATTTTAATAACATGATAGTTATATCAAATCAACGTAGACATTTTGGTTAACTTTGATGTTTTTTAAAACAATTCTGTTTAATAAAACATATCAACATTGTAATACCTAATAAAATTACACTGTCTGAAAATAATTATTATCTACAATTAAATATAATAAGAAACATTTTTCATAATTGAAATTTTTAAAAAAATGGAAGTAGTCTATAATACACTCTCATGTTTCTAGCTTTAATAATTGTGATAATTTTTGATACCTACCATTTGAAAAATTAATGGCAACTAAGATTTTTGTAAGAGTATAAAATTTCAGTATGTACTATCAAAGGAAAATTTCAGGATAAAAGAGAAAGCTCTAATTTAACTTACCACATTTTACAGTAAGGATTAAGCACCCAACGAATAAAATTGCCCTTCGAAAGTGATTCATATTGAATAGAATTGAATAAACAAAACGTATAATTAATGTGTCTCTAAATACATACAGTTGCTCATATCAGTACAAGTGATTATAGGGGTCGAATGTTAAAATATTTAAGTTAAATGTTCACATAAATACAAGGTGGGTTATTCGCGATGTTAAGTACAGGGAACTCGGAAACTGTAGGATAGAAGTTGTAATCGGAAATAGAGAGAAAAATTAGCGAATCTTTAACTCATATTGGAGAATATCCTGAATATGTAAGCAATATCGAATCAGAAAAAAAAAACTTGAGAAACCTTGAAGAATAGTTTGAGTGTGTGAAGTTAGAAACCCAACATCAGTTCTCAATAGTTCTGATTAGGGTTCTGAGTCCCTTTTAAAGACTATAAGAATACTATAAGAGTAGTATAAGGGTATAAGAGTACTTTTCTCACAAATCACTCTCACACAATCATTCTCAAAATTTATGGTAATAAAAGAGAAGATTATATGTATAGAAAAATGAGATGTATTCAAAATTATATTTTAACTGCAATGCAATATTGCAGCAATATATTTTGAGAAAACGCTCTAGGGGTCAAATGTTATATAAATAACATTGGCCCGTATTCAGCGCCTCTGTTAAACTTTAGCGTGACTCTAAAGTCGCGTCTCGAGTCCCTAGTTACTCCATAACAACAATGTAAATCTGTCAAGTTAAAGACGCGATTTTAGAGTCACTCTAAAGTTAAACAGAGGCGCTGAATACGGGCCAGTATATTTAAATAAATTAAGTACCTACACAGGGTGTTCCTAAATATCGTGTGCATCCGAAAGGGAGTGATTCCTTGGCTTATTTTATAACTAAAAGTTCAAATAAATTAACGTAGGTCCGCAAACGCTTCGTTACCGATCTACAGGGTGTTGATTTTTCAAGATTTTTTGTTGGGTGTTACATACAGATTGCTTCAATTCAGACCGCAACATGGTCGTTTCTATGAGTTGAACAAAGAAAGATTAATAAAATAACAGTTGTCAGAGTGAAAAGTTACAATGACACCAATGTCACTTTTCTTTTTCCTTTATAAGTGTCTAATGAAAGTTGTTTTTATCGCACCTATAGTCTATACATATAACCTATGTTGCGATCTGGGGAAATACAGTTAGGGAAATACCTGTATTTATTTAAACGTAAATATATACCATTATCTTCATTAAGCAAACGAAAAGAGTTTATATTTATTGTACTTATTATATTCTTTTCAAGGAACTGGGAACTCTATACAGAATTATTGAGAACTGAAGGTGAATAGTTTATTATTGTGACGTACTATCACCGCGTAGTCAAAACGCAAATCGCATCCAGACAATGCGATTTGTCGCCGCATCTTGCAAATGCACTTTAACAGCGGGCTTTAAACATCTCTGCGCCCTCTACGAACTAAACATGGAAACAAAAAAAAACTAACATATTGAAAACGAAAATGGCGATTTTGTCGAGTTCGAGTGCAGTTCGTCTTCAGTTGTTTCCTAGGGCGTTCCGCGGAAAGACCCCATAGTGCGTACAATCATCCCCTATAAAGCAAGCAGTGTGGAAATATTCTCGAAAACGAGCTCCTAAAATATTCCAATTCGATGGAAGAAAAAGAAAACAAAGCCGATCCGACAAAGCATCTCCAAGATGACGTCGCCTCCGAAGATCTACGACCAGCGGCGACGGGTTGCGCGTGCGCGGCAGAACCGAATGCCACCGAAGCGGTGCCGAAGAAGCGGAAAACTCGACGCGGGAAGTCCAAACGCCGACACCCCTACTTGAAGCAGCACAGAAAAGCCGCTGGGAAACTGAAATTGGTGAAGCCCGAGGCGCCGCACAACAGCAACCAATTCCTGCTCGAAGATCACGAGCTGATCGAGGAGTTGGACAGGAACTTCATGTCGCCGTCGACGTTGCGAACTAGAGACTCTAGCTTCAGTGTGGATTCCGAAGGGGACTTTTATTCATCGCCCGACGACGAACAAAAGTTTTTGATCAAGGACTTCGACGATCAGTACGAGTCGCTTCAAGCTGAACGGCTGCAGAGTTTGTCGAAAGTGGAGCTGATACAAGAGTATATTGCGCTGGAAAATAAATTAGAGCAGGTGAGAAAATTTGAAACTTTGGCAACATTGCACCTGGCATGCAGTTGTCAATGTCGTAATTATTTGTTGACCGAATAACAGTTGGTTCAAAGGCCTTATTAAAAAAATGCATAGAAGTCAAGTACCTATTGCAAATTTTATTTGAATTATGTAATAAAATTATTAGGTGCATTGTAAATTGTAAATATTTCTTTATTATACACATTTTTCTCTAATGAATGAAATTTACACCTCCTAGATTAAGAAAATAATTCTATATATTCTAAAATTCTCAGTACTATTTTCTTATTAGCTCTTCCTAAATCTTATTTTTGTACTAAATTCAAAAATTTTCTATAACCTTCTTGTCTCTGGAATTATTTTTAATGATTATCTTCTAAGAAAGCTAATCTCTTGTTCTATTATCAGTTAACGAAACAAACCACGAAACTAGAAGAAGACTCATCCGAGGATTCCTGCCCTGATCTCAAGCAGGAGGTGGAAAGGTTAACCATCGAAAACGAGCGCCTGCGAAGGGAAAACGACTTGTTGAGAAGTAAAGTGAATGAATCGGACTCTGAGGATTCAGAAACGGACTCGAGTGACTCGTGTAGCAGTTCATCATCGAGCAGTGACAGTAGTTCTTCGAAAGATTCGAATCGATCTAGAAGCCCTATTAATAATGGTGATTACAGCAGTGGCAAAATGAACGGGGTGGTATCTAAAAGTGAAGCGGTTTTATAATTTTTTAGTTGTTTCGTTTTGATGCATTTCGTTTACACGTATTATTTGGATGATTGTTTAATTCTCAACTGAATAATGTTTGCGTTTTTCTAGTTTTGAATTTAAAATTATTTATTTTTTAGTATTAGTTTCCTAAAATCGTTTTTACTTACTCTCATTCCTGATTACTTTTCGCTTATTCTATTCGCTAATTATGCAACTTAACTTGGAATTTGTTTAAATTTATGTATTACAGATTATTAAATTTCCTAAAAGAGGATTCAATGCAATTAAAGGGACTAAAGTGATCTAGTCATTTCAAATAAGTTTTGATACATCATTACAATTGCTCGAGAGGAACAAATATAATCTGTATTTAAATAAGTTGTAAAGTTAAGTGTTGTACAAAAGTTTATGAATTAATTTTAAAAATTATTCGCAGTTGCTGTTTACTCTTATTTGAATCAAATTAAATAGATAAATTATGTTCGTTTATTATGTAAGTATTTGTAATCTTTCCTACCCGTAAAAATTCCAGGTTTTTCTAAAATTTCTGGTACATTTTACATAATAAATGAACGATGCCATTTTTTTAGGTTTTTTTCAAATCAATTATGACCTTGACGAAAATGCGTGATATTTCGAAAATCATCTAGCATTGTATGGGCTTAATATAACGATACGTTGCCTACCAATTACAATGTAGTTATTAATTATATTTTTTGTTGATAACATGTTTACTGCACTTTCCTCTATTTTTTTGTATCTATTGTTTTAAAATAAAATAACTTTTGTAGATGCGAGATTTAAAAAAAATGTTGTAAGTTTGATTAAATTATAGTTGTAATAACTTGCATATTTTATTCCTTGTGGTTTAGTAACTTTTCGAACTTTCGCCTTGATAAGGTAGCTAGCAAAATTAATTTGTGAAAAGTATTGCCTACCTATTATTTTAGTTAATAGAGAAATGAAGTTGGCAATAATGACGACATATCATATGTCACTCGTCACTGTCAAAAAAGGTAAATACACGGTGACATAATATAACAATTTATTTTTTATTTTTAACTTATACAGTCAAATCAAATTATCGTAAAGCGTTCCAAATTAAAGGAAGAGCTATGACCTTCCGTGTTTCGCGAAGGTTATTCTCCCATTCGACAACCTTGCAAAATCGACTGATAAAATTCCGATACGGAGCCTCCAAACATCAACAATCTTCGCCCTCGACTCCCAGTCAAACGGCACAACAGCAACAAGCACAAGGAGCAGCAATTTGGGACTTCGAACTGCCAGCGAGATTCAAGAGAAGATATTTAGACGAACAAGAAATTGCTGTAATCAATAATGGAGGTCCCTTGTAATTTGTGAAAGTAGATATTTAATTATGAATTATAATGTAATGATGGTTATTAAACGTAGATCACGTTGAAGATTGCTTTAGAGAATGTAATATACCCGTTGAGAGTCAAATGCGTTTTGTACATTTTAAGCCTTGAGCAATGGGGGTTATTCAGTCCGTATATGGTTAATTTTGATTTTGTGACTTGGTATCACACTAAGGAACGAAGGAACCTCAATATTTTGGAGGATGTATCATTTCGCTTTGTAAATGACGTCACAAATATATTCAATTCGATTTTTTATTTTTTTACGTATTATTTTTAAAATAGCTACTAACCAATCAATGTAAAATTGTGGCGAGGTACACATTTCACTTGCATATTTTATATTGTAATCTTTCTTTTGTAATTTTTAATTCATCACATTGGTATATGTCAAAGTATTGACAGCTGCATATGTCACACTGTTGCCAAATGTATATTAATATTAATTTGTCGCTAACAAATTATATATAAATCTAATGTGCTAATGATTCTATCGAAAATAAAACATACATTATTATTTTTATATTTCCGTGTTTATTTATGTTAAACGAGTCATCATATAATAATTGTCATTATAATAATGACAATTGACATTTCAATACCTGGCTAAAGGCTGGCAACAATGTCTAGAACTTGTGGCTAATGGCGTAAACTATGAGGTGCAGACATAAATAATCAGTACATTTTTTGATTTTTACTTAATTTTCCGTTTATTTGACACGTTAAACTACATTAATGATTGTTAATAATAATTAAATCGTCTAGAAATTACTATTGATGTTCTCGACATGTCTAAAAACAAGATAGTGCGATCGTGTGACACCAAAATCGAAGTTAAAAGTAAAGTAAGTATGCCGATTTCTATTGTTTATTTGTAATTAATACAATATTAAATTAGCGTATATTGTTAATTTTGGTTATAATTATCTGCTAATTAACGTTTGTATTTTGGTTGCATTTAAATGCTCTTTATTTCGCTCATTTCTGATCATATGTGGAATGATTCATTGATAAAGCGTATACATACATTGTAAATTACTTTGTAAAGTATTTGTTATTCATTTGGTTGTAATGTATGTACTAAACAAGTAAAGAGCATAGCCAACTACAACAGCTCTCTCTTATACATATGTTTAGATTTTTAAAAAATTCATCTACATACTTATAACTTTTTCGAATACTTTTTATAAATCTTACTGTTTATGATACATTTTGATTGTTCGTCAAATGAAATCTAAATATTTTTTTTAATTCTTGTTCTCGTTAATTCAATATTTGCAGTTTGATGCCGAGTTCAGAAGATTCAACGTAGAAAGGAATTCCCAAATCAAATTCGAAGAATTCCGATTGCTTCTAGAGAGCTTGCACGCCTTAAAAGACACCCCATTTCTAGTTTCTTACGTAGACCCGAGCGATCAGGATTTACTCCCCATCAACAACGATGACAATCTCAGAAGGGCCCTTTTCAACGCCAAACCATTACTGAGAATCATCGTACAGAGAAAAGGTACCTACTTTATTAAATCTCTTACCAGCTATAATATATCACATTTACAACATATTTTTCATAGGCAACAGCTTAGAGGAGTTGAATGGCTACGGCACGCTCAAACCTAGAAACTTAATTTCCACAATACTAGGAGGCACTCCGGCCAAAACTAAAGCCCCTCCAATATCAAACCCGCACGATTTCAGGCAAGTCTCGGCCATCATAGACGTCGACATTGTACCGGAAACTTGCAGAAGAGTCAGATTGCTCAAACACGGATCCGATAAACCACTCGGGTTTTACATAAGAGACGGAACGAGCGTCAAAGTTACACAGAATGGTACACACGCACCAACCCTTCCACATACAATCATAATTAATAAACTATATCCAAGCAGGTCTGGAAAAAATCCCCGGTATATTCATCTCGCGTCTAGTACCCGGAGGTCTGGCCGAATCCACCGGCTTGTTGGCAGTCAACGACGAAGTGCTGGAAGTGAATGGCATAGAAGTGGCCGGCAAAACTTTAGATCAAGTCACCGACATGATGGTAGCTAATAGTTCGAATCTTATTGTAACGGTGAAGCCGGCCAATCAAAGAACAGTCGGGCCCCCGCGAAGGGGCAGCTTTGGAAGGAGTTCGCACATGTCTAGTGGCTCTCACCAATCTAATACTACAGCTGGTTCGGATCCGGAGGATAAATACGATCAGGATGAGATTGTTGATCTTACAGGTACGTTAATGTGGAATTGGATCGAGCATTTTGAGTTACGATTACGTTTATTTTAAGGTGGTTTGAACTTGGAAGAATCGCAGCAAATTTCAAAAGACGATGGTATACTTCACCTTTAATTATTATTTTTTTTTTTATTATTGCAAGACTTTTTAACGGAGATGGCAGATTGTTATGCACAGGTGCAAATAATAGCTGTGAAAAGTCATTTGCACGAGTTTATTATAGCCCATTTGCACCCCGTTTTGAGACCGTTTTTGCATCATGATGAGAAAATTTTTATCAAATTTTCTAATAAAAAATCGTCTGCAATGATTAATTGCATAAGATTAACTCTTTTCAAATCAACAAATTGCCAGTATATTATACAAATTACGAAAATATTTATCTCTCAAAGCGGGTGCAATCGTTAAACTCGGTACAATAGTGCATTATTTATTGCACCTGGTGCATATACCATCTCTGCTTTATAACATTACATTCCGCAAAATATGGTAATTACCTTACATAACTATTTATGATTAACCAAGAGACTTGGTATTTTTATATCAGTATTTTTACAAAGCGTATCCGTCCCAAGATGTGCCTCTTCTCATTTTTTATCGTCTAGGAACTTTCTCGAATGAATTTTACAAAATCTTGGAAATCAGAAACATTCCTTTATTTGCAGTATTAACTGTTAATTGGTGACTTTTTTAATGGCCGTCCGATGGTTATTGTTACTTCGTTTTATGTATTTATTGGTTTCGAGCAATTCCCAAAAATTTTAAAATTGATGTGCCTTAAACCATTCCATCTTTATGAATGCCCTAGTATTAGGAGGGAGTAATTAGGATGTTTAAAATTGATATTTGTATTATTAATGAAGTCCCTTAATTAACATCTTTGCACTGTGTTAAATTGCAGATATCAAATAGCTACATTTGGCCCCAACTTTTTTTAATACATATATTATATTAAGTTTAGTTAGTATTTTATATTATTGTTATATTATTATGATGTGATGTGAGTATTGTTGAGAGTGTAAATTTTATGAAAAAGCTTGTTCCGAAACGATACGAGTTTTGTATTTACGCAGGGTAGTATTGCATATCAGAGATCAGAAACGTTTCGGTGTTTAATCATCATGAACAACTTAATTATGATTTCTGATTTATCGGTATTGTTTTGTACTTAATTAGTTTGATTATTCGCAGCTGATTTATTTTATCCGAAATAAACTACATACTTTCGTATGATTATTATATATTTATAACATTTTGTAAACATTGTTATTTTTACTCATTTTTACATTTTTAAAAGTAATTTCGATTTGGTAAGATTTATCTTGTGTTTACGTTAATCTGAACCAGTAATGCAAATATTCAATAAAAGAAATTTATTTTTATCTTTGGTATTTATTTCGCTGTGAAAAAGTTGTGCAAATTGTAATTATATTTCAGCATTTTGAAAAAGTATTTCTTTCCCCCAATGGTCTAAGTTCAGTGGTTTTCGATTATAGATCCTTCCTCATCTTTATGTGGTTGCCTAGACACCTTTGATTACCCTTTTACACCCTTTTAGTATGAAGTTCTAATTTACCAATAAAACTAGTATCAATTTTAATAATATATTTTTCCAAAATATTTACATTGTTGGTATTGGCACTGTTTGAAAAATATATATTTATAAATATTTATGTACATAAATTATTAATTTAATAAAAAAAAACAAAAATAATACTTAACAAACGATAAACCCATTATTGTTTAAACGTACTGAACTCTTTTTCTTAAAATATTATCAACAAAATGTAAAAAAATGTTCCTTGCTTGCTATAAATTTACTTTAAAGAGCTAGAGCATGTCCATTAATTTTTTTTTGTTACTAAACAAAACTTTTTTTAGTACTGCTACTAAACCAACAATTTGGCATTTTACAAAAATATTGAAATTAGAATTTATTTATGCTTTTCCAAAAAAAAAAAAAAATAACAAAAATTCAGTCAGTTTAAACCAAGATGTCCGATTAATATTTTTTATACCAACCAAACACATTTCACAATATTCATATAAAACTAATTTGGCACTGTTTCACAACAAAATTCGAAAAAAATGGCACATTGTTAACAGATAGGCGAAGAACTATGTGATTATTTTTTTATTACAAATTAAGTATAAAAAACCCGTACTATCGTTAGGAATTTCTATTGAATTTGGCACATGAAATACGTATACAGATATACATAATAATTTCTGCGAGAAAATATTGCACACTTCTAGAACAAAAAATGCATTTGGCTGGTACAAGATGAGTCTTCACAACACCCCCAATCGATCAGATCACAACGTACAAGAGATTCTTAAGTCGTCACTTCTTATCGTCCAACTTTCCCTTATCCAACGACGAAGACACCAGCATCGGCTGGCCCTGCTGCGCGTTCTGATTAGGAAACACCTTGTCCAAGTGCTTGAGCGATTCGCTGAGGAAGTTCTGGATGGCGGTGAGCGCCGCCACGATGGCGGGACTGCCGAAACCGTGACTAATCAGCGAGAAGTGCGTCAGGTGGCGCTGTATCGACGGATCAAGCAGGATCTGCGGCCGCGTATTGCACAATGGCGATCTGTCCTGGTTCAGCAGGTCCATCAACTCCTTGGTCACCTGCTTCGTCGCCTGCAGCAGTTCCTTCCTGCGCATCGTTTCGCCGTGTTGCCTCAGAAGATACTCAGCTACCTACGTGCATAGAATAATTAGGTGTAGAGTATAGGTTTATCATGCTAGAGCACAAAGAGTAATGTGGTTAATAGTGCCTGTGGAATTGCCTACCTGTCTAGCTGGAAATTCAGTCTCGCAGACGTATCCGAAATCCCTGGCCAGATGTATGGCTTCGCCTTCTACCAGCGAGGTCAAGAGGGTGACGTTGGCCGCTTTCCGTCGACCGGCCGGCAGATTCAAGCCGATCTTCTCGAGCTTCTCCCTGAGTATTCGACCGCCGTTTTTGCTCTTCGCTCGCCTCAGGACGCCGCCCAACAGGGAGGCGTTTAGGCATTCCGGTGGAGATAGCCTGCGCTGCACCTCGCCCACCGTTACTTTGTACTTTGACGTCGAGGACAAAAGCGACAATCTACCAGGTACCGAACAGAATACGTCGCTGGGGGACACCATCGAACCGCCGCCGTGGTCTTTTCCTTTTATATCTGGAACAATGTAGGTTACAACGTGAAGATTCTAAAGGGTGTAATATAGGAGATTCTGGAGATATTGCTGCACCAGGTCATTGGCAAAAGGTGGTCAACGGTTAACAATCAATAACTGTAGAATTTTGAGCTTAACTTATGAAGAATATAATGGAGAAGAAATTACTAATCAATAATTATCTGGAAGGAAGGATGAAGCATCAGTTTTTCTATTTGAGAAATATTTACTGTAGGTACTACGTAGAGAGAAAAAAGCACAATCTATTAAAATAATCTCCAGGAAATACTATTTTATAATGATTTCAGCAGAATTTTATTGCCGGATGAGCGTGGAGTGAATATTTCAATCTTATTGGTACTTACTTTTTAATAATGGTAAGTCTGTAATGAACCCCGTGTTATCGTCTAGACCGCCTTGGGCCTCTTCCACCGCTTGTCCCAGGGCTTGGTGTAAGGAAAGGGGGTCGTCGGGCCGTTGGGTGGAGTAGTCGGGTCGACCTCCTCCCGGTCCCGTGCTGTAGGGAAAACTAGTACCGTGACCTAACTGACTCTGAAAATAAACGATTATGCAATTAATTGTAGGTATGTTATGGATGTAGATGGATGATTTGCGTTAGGAAAACCCAGTGTAATAAGGCGATATTAGGTCGGTGAATTTGCGAATATAGGACCCCTTTGAATGAGTAGGATAACTGAGATTCCCGTCGAAATTCCTGCCGGGCTCGCGAACTATGTCAAGACGGGAAGTATTTCAAGATTCTGGATAAGATTTTGCGATTCTGTAGTTTGGGTATCGAGTAGTTTCCTAACGTTTAATTACTGTTATCTTAGTTTTTGGGTTTTTTTATTCGACTAATTCAAAAATTGGAAATGATATGGCGGTCGTTTGGTCTTTTTTCCCCAACGCCATCGCATTTATAAAGTAAGTATTAGAAATAACAAAAATCGCTTAAAATCGTAGAAATCTCGATCATCGATGAAATCCTTAACAACTTATGGTGTACGCACAAAATATCAGAAATCAGATTCAAGCTTATTCATTGACTTATCCCAAAAATGAAATGAGTATTAGAAAAACCAATGAATCAATTTAGTTTACTCATATTTTAAAACTAAAAAGCCTCATATTAAATGGACTTACAACATGGGTATGGCTGCCGTCGCCGTCCCTGGGCCTCAACCCCAACTGGTTGTAGTGGTGCAGTCCGGTGAGGCCGCCGTAGGGGTCCGTGAGGTACTCCAGGTGCTGCTGGGGCGGCGGGCTGGGCGGATGGTGGAACGGCGGCGGGAAGTAAGGCGGTTGGAAGTCCGGCTGGGGCAGCTGGTGCTGCATGGCGGCCGCCGCCGAATGGTGGAGGCCGGAGGCGGCGCGGTGATGGGCGGCCGAACCGCCGGCGGAATAACCGCCGCCCGGCGAGCCGCCGCTCAACGTCAACGAACCGTGGCCGGTGGCAGTGAGACGGTCCTGCAACAAAAGGTTTATTTTTATAAAAAATATATTGATTTAGATTTTATTTTTTAATAGTAGATAATAAAAAATACAAATATAGTAGGTGTATAAAAACAATCTATGCAGATTACATAGGTAGGTACTAATGAAAATTAATACATAGGTATAATAAAAATATTATCAGTCGGTAAAAATAGTGAGTTCAATTAAAAAACTCATTTAACTAAGCCTTTAATTAATTAACAAAACTCGTTGATATTGGCAATATAATGATACTTGGTATTACATAGATAATAATTAAGCAACAGTAGGTAGGTAGATCAATTTTTTATTGATTAGGTTTGTATCAAAATACAATCATCATCCATCATCGAAAAGCCAGCAATAATGTCGGCACTTATCATTTTTTATTCACGCTCCTCCCATACATAGATAAACGGCAAATAGTGGATAAATAACAGTCTTATTTGACTTGGTAATCAATTCACATGTCTTGAATAATAAATACGAAAGGTGGGCCTAATATCTTCTCTCGTGAAAAATCGTTGTTAAAAAATCTAACAACAATAAAAAGAGGTGAAGGAAGAGAAGTTTTGCTTCGAGGCTTTAAAGTAAAAGATTTTATGGTTTTAAAACTTTTTTTCTCTTATCATTTGCTACTACCTTTTACTTGAAAGTAAATGCTTTATTTTTATAAATATGGACCATTGGAAGATACTTAATTTTTTTTTATAAAAGTTGTTCTGTTGCGCGTTGATTTAAAAACCACATTCGATTCAATAGAAACCTGGCCCAAAATCCCTTATACTTATCGACGTTCTTATAAATATGTGGCAGGCATTTATCACGCGGTGGAAATAGGGAATGGGGTAAGTTGGGGGAGAGATAGTTCGCTTTATAAAAGACATTCCACAACTTGGCCTTTGCCTAGTAAGTATCTCATCTCCAGCGAAACCGTGTCCCCGCAGAAAGTGAGCAACTATAATCCAGTGTTAAAGTGTTTATTCGTCTATTACAAGTAAGTAAATTTATTAATTTATTGCTTGAACTTAGTATTTTATATTATTTGCATCTAATTGGACTGGGTTGTAATAATTTGAACTTAGTTCTGTTGTAATATCCATGATATGCATCAATAAAATCATGAAAATAGTTAAAAACTTTTGGATACCAATATTTCAAACCGAAACCTCATTCAAAAAAATTGAAAAGATAATTTTAGATTTATTATTGGATCTCCCGAAGAATTACTCACTTGAATAAATGTTTAATGTCTTCAAGTGATGACCAAAAATTTCACACTATCGCTTGTTACTTCTTCTAAAATCTATTCCCTAAATAAAAATTGTCTCATGACAAGTCGATATTTACATAGTAAGTACCCGCCGCATCATCGATTACGCATTTATCAGGGAAGAAAACCCATCTAAGCACAAGGCCACTGTAATTACGCCTCGCCCGGTAGCTAATTGCGTATGGGCAGCATCGCCGGGCATCGGGCGGTCGCTCTCGGTGGGCCCCGAGGCGACGCGTGAGGCGTGTGCCCCGTTTTCTCTCGGCGTTAAATAAGTACGATCGGCGCTCGCTTCTGCCCCAAGGGCTCCGCTATGTGCGCACTCGAAGCGATGCGCTCCGGGCTTCTGGCTGCCGGCCCTCCGATTTTCTCCTTTTTTTCACCGATACTAAATCACCGTAAGTCACGTATATAGGTAGCCCGAGCGAGCGATAATCACTGTTCTTATAGATCATTTCTAAAACCTGATAGTCTTATTGGCGTTAAACGATCCGTCGATATTTGCTTTTTTTTTGTTAAATAATAATTGCGAATTTCTTGCGATGTTACTGGATAACTGGTGAGTACTTATAAGCATAACATATTTCCATTATAGAAACAGAAATAGCAAATAAGAGCCTATGTCGTAAATATACAAAAAATTTCATAGAAAATATGTATTTATTTTAAGCTTTTCTGTACTTATTCATGACCATAAAGAGTTGCGCTAGTTAAAAATGCGGCTCGAGAAAGATGTATCGGGTGTATTACGAGAGATGACCGTTGGCCTGAATTCCATCGGCGAGGAAATCCGAAATCCGTACCTGTTCTTTCAGCAAAAGGTGTACCAAGTTGCCCCGAGCACGGCGGAATGCCGTCAGGCAAGTGCACACCCAGATAGCCCCCCCAGGGCCCCACATGTTCAATAGGCGACTCCAATCTCGAGTGTAGAGGTGCACGATTATGCCATGCTCTTAGGTTGCTAATAATGAAAATTGTTAAAAGGGATATTGAAATGCTCGTTGGCGTTTGGTGTTCCGGGATGACTGGTGAATTGTTTTGAATTTTCTCTTAATCTCGGAATTAGATGTTTTTTAACATCTAGTGTTAAATGTTTAATAGAAACTAGGGTGGAATTATTGGAATTATTTACTTCAATTTAATTTTTCTATCATTATTTAAATGAATTTTCGTTGATTTTTTGTAGTATTTTTTAATGTTTGTCGCATAAAGCTTTTGAATATTTTACATACATTCTGGGCTCTCGATGGAATTTTATATTTGGACAATATTTTACTTGATTTTTAAATATTTTTTTCTGAATTTTAGATATTTTTAAAGTTATACAGTTTTTTAACACAGGTTTTAAAATGGTGTTTTAGAATGTGTGTTATAACTAGAGTCACTAGTATCCCAAACAACTAAAAAAATTTAAAAATCCAACAATACTGATGTAAATTTATAAATTGTCACCATAATCTCAAAAAGAACAGTAATTTTAATGATTTTGTATCTATTAAATGTAAAATCTGCCTAAGTAACAAATAATTCCTCAAAGTAAATGTACATAACATTAACGTAAAATTATCTAACAACATAATGAAATGTAAATTAAATGAAGATGATGTCTACAGATGCAAAATTACATATTCCGCCCGTACCGAGTCGCATGCCCATCTCTAACTAACGCGATCTTCGCATGTCCGTTCTTGTAAACACATAATAACTGATTGTCCCAACTGAAAAGCTAACAGTTATGCCGAAAAAAAAAAAAATAACCAACCTTACAGTCATTTCGATTGTAATGAGATTTCTGGTCGTCCTTCTTCCTCGCGCGTTCTCTCGGCGTATCGTCAGTTTTTTCCTTTAATTAAGGCGCTTTCTCGAGAATCGAAATGAAACTCTTTGAAAATATTATTACAGTGAGTTATAGTAGTAAGGAATAATTCTCTTCAACGAGATCCAAATTGTATCTAATTCATGACCAAAATTGTATTAGGTACTCGATTTTAGTGCAAAATTAGTAAGCCGAAGGATTCGAATTTCCTAAATTTTAGAATATTATTAATTCGTATCCCAAAAAGTTACCATTTTTTAACAGAGCTTCAGTACCTATACCTATATTAATTAAGGCAATAAAAATAACAAAATTTGCAGTCATTAGAAAATATACTCAAATACAACATTTTTCTCAAACAAATCATAAAGACATGAAGTTTCCACTTTTGAGGTCTTGTTGTTTAAATTATTCCATTTTTGTAAATATCTTTTATTTTACTATTCCTTAACTAATGGACCATTAACAAGTAACAAGTTTTATTACGACGTGTAAAATCGTTTTTTAAACGGCGATAAGAGCATTTTATTACTCTATAAACGTTACCTATACTGTTAGTTACCCAATTTTAATAGGATTTTTGCAATATGGCATTTCAAAATATTTTTAGGGAGTAAAAATGATTTATCAACGTCACCCTATCAAAGAACGGCTATTGTGCAAATAGATTAAGAATGAATAACGCCCACATGGGTACTATAATAATTTTTATCCAGGCCGAGATAAAATAATGTACAATTTGCTCAAATGGTTATAAGTTCGTAAGCATACCTATAATTTGTTCTCCGAATCTGAACATACATATGTATCACTTATATTGACTATATTTCAAAGAAATATCTAATATTCATAAATTTCTTTACAACGTATAATAATGTGCAATAAAAGACTGTTAAATTCATATGTTGATTGATGCTTTAGAGGTTGCGATAATAGTTTCTTTTTTCCAACAGGTGCTCGTTGAAACTCATTGAATATTTCAATACAAGTTTTAACAGACTTTATTCATACATGACTAGGTATATTTTCAATAGATTAAATTACTATAGTAAGAGACATTCATAGAGTGTTTCATCGCTTTAAAATTGTGTAAAATCAGCTAATGCGCACGATTTTTATCTAATTTTTCAACATCAACGACACGTACACGGCTTGAAATCAATCGTGCTGCAGTGACTGCGACTAAATAGCAATTAAAAAGGTGAAAAACCTGTCTCGGAGGAGCGGACGAGGACGAGGACGCTGTACAACGTCGTATACCCCGCGGGAGGGTTCCCCAGTTTACCTGGGGCAGCTTTTAAAATAGCCATTCTATGGTTAGAATACCTGTTGACGATTCGTGTTTATCTTCGTTCCATAGAAAACGAAATTCACTCATTCATGGTCGGTCGAACGAATGTATTTCTTGACTACCACTTACTAGTAAGCTGGTAATTTATTAAAATTTGGAAATTTTAATGTGTTAATTAAGTAGAGAATTTTTACAGTATTGTGATGGAAATAGAAGTTTTTAATGTACCGTAAGGTGTCCAATTATATAATAGGAAGCATTTCTTTGGATTTGTTATTTTTTTAGTTGTTTTCATAAACTGTGTTTTGGAGTTATTTCGATTTTTCGTGGAGTAGGTAAATTTTCTTCGAAACAAACTCAAATTTAATATTATCCTTATTATCGAAAGACTATTTAATGCCCTCGAACTCTAAGTTTTTTAAAGATCGTATTTAGTGTAAGTTAATCAATTTTTCATCAAATGATGTCAAATCGAGTTATAATAAAATAATGTTGTTATTAGACATAGATATAATCTAGATTTAATAAAATAAAATATCTACACATTTGGGCGTGTAAAGGAATTTTTGCAAATTGCAAATTTGCATTATTTTTGATTCAGATAACTTCCCAACAATCATATATGAGTACCTACTCAAATATTAGAGCGATTCTTATTTAAACCCCAAAAGAACGTACCTCATCGTCCCCGTTCTCCTGCCGCTGATCGCCCTGCTCGTCCATAAGCACGAACTCCACATCGTTATTATTGATTTTCAAATCGGGCGGCGATCGCCTCGCCAAATCGCCCGCGACCGCTCGGCTCCTCTTCCTGCGGGCGTTCAGCAAATCGACCGTCAATTGATCGCCGGCCGACGAATCGGGGGAGTCCGGATGGCCGTCCATGCCGCGACCTAAACGCGCCGCATTTTCCCCTGGCTTATCCGGCTCGAACGCAGTCGAAAATTCGAAAATCTCGGATTTCCTCGACCGATGGACACTGGACGGACGTCGACCGGGCCAAAGACGAATCGAAACGGCGATGAAGCAGGCTCGAGGCGTACTGACGTCTTCGTTTGCCGCGAGCGAGAACGGCCCGACGCGGGGCGAAGAGGCGATTCGATGGTACCAGGACCGGACGCGGTCGTACCATTCCGGTGATGGTCAAGGTAAGTAGTTTAAATCAATGTTACTGTTGATGCTAACTGTTCTTCTCGCGGATTTGCTGCTTTTAGGTAAGTACTATTCGTAGGTGGTACTGGTTTTAAGTACTATCGCAATAAATAGATGAGGTACTACCAATATATTACCATTCGTGAGTTGAATAAATTATTAGGTACTTCTAAGTTGAGCAGTACCAGTAAGTACTATTGTTTCAGTTATTACCTACTTCCATAAACACCTGATATAATTATTAGATATCATCAATTAGTACTACCATATTAATACCCACTTCTGAATGCTGATGGTATAAGATACAACTTCTTTTTCGGTTTTTTTTTGTGGGGCAGTACCCACGCGATATATTTTTATTCGCCGTAAACGATTCGAGTCCATACCTGATAGGTACCTCGCCTTTCCGTCCGTTAGAATACCTGTTCGATTCTTAAATTCCCTATAACTTGTTACATAATCTCGCTCTTTTTTCCGCCTTAATTGAATTTAAATAAGAGCGCTCGATATGGGGACATTCGCCCAACTCGCGGCTAATCAGTGAAAATCGCTCCCATTAGAGAAGCTCTATATCGTTATGAATCCGCTTAGCCGCAGTCCCGGCCGGAAAATGACTGCGAAACAGCCTCTGTAGTTCATTTGCGAGTTGGAATGGAATTGGCCAATGAGATGGAAAAAAATTGTCAAACGGTAATATGTTAATGAAAGATAGAAAAGGCTAGTAGATTGATAATTTATTCTATGGGAGAATAAATGTAGGGAGAAAATTCTTTGGAAGAATACGAATTGAACAAAATGGAGTTTAAATTGTTATTGGTTTTTTTCTCAACTTCTATTTGCATGATAAAGTATGAAACATTTATTAATTTTTTTTTACAAAATTAAAAAACCATTAACCGCAACAGAAATAGGGAGGAAATACTGAAGTGTTTTCTCCCTACTTTTATAACCTTTAATGGGTTTTTAATTTTGTTGAAAAACCGCTATAAATTTGTATACGCTTTATGCCATATTCCAAAGAAGTTGGAAGAAATTTAATAGTATATACCTAGGTATATTTGTTATCTGAAGTACTTTGATCAGCTTTAATCCTGATAATTATTGTAACGACACGATTATTCCGGTTATTAAATAATATATAAGAACATCAATCTTCACATTTTAGTTTTTTTAATAATAGGATATTACCTTTTCTTCTTTTTGCTGCTATTCGTATTATTTCATCCATTCCAAGTGAAACGAATATTTCGACGAAAAAACTTGTTATTATATACAGAGTGCCTCGCACAAGCAAACCAAACCATCGGCAACCGCAGAAATGTAAAACAAAAAAGAACTTGACGCCTTTATCTACATACCACAATAACCGAAGACCAAGTCAATTATCTCGGTATATCCATCATTAGCTTCAATCACAACCGGGAGGATTATACTTTCCGACGTGCCTAATATTATTTTTTAAATTTACACCAACTTCTTTTACAAACTAATTCCTAATTAAATTTTTCTTAAAATAGTTCGTTGCACATAAAATTGTTTCTTTACTTAACTTTACTACTAGTAAGTGTGCTTTAAATTTAAGCAGAATAGTCCTAAGTCGTGGTACAATATGTAATGTAAGATTATGGTAGGTGCACTAAGATTGAAATCAATTTTGTAATTGAGCATAAACCGAAGTGTCCGCGGAGGATGGGAAACAAAGCTAATTGAGAATATGAGGTTCAGGATTCGTATGGGCTAATATGCCGGGGTACTCTCGTTCGTGGTGTGTCTCTCTGCAGTTTGGTCTTTGGTCGCGCGATCGGTCAACAACCGGCCAAATCGCCGCGGCCCACTCGAGTCGCCGTTTCTTCTTCTTTCGTTCGCTCGTTCGCTCTCGCCGTATCTTCTGATGACCCACATCTTCATCTCCTGGAGATATTTTTTTGCGCCATACCTAACAGTACGGAATCCGTTCGTCAGTAGTGGATTCAGCCGGAGTACCTATATGCATTTTCGGAGATTTTCGTTTGAAATATCGAGTTTTTATTCGCGGTGCTGTTCAATCTACACGAAAGGGTAGAAGATAAGATCAATAAGATCAAATTTATTATTGCAGGAGGGAATTCATGAATGTAATTATGAGGAGTAGTACCGTGACAGTTTATTGTTGTTGATAATGAGAGTATATTTTTTGTATCGCTTGGTTGAATGTTTAAGTATACTTTAATATTATTTTTAATATGTACCTACATCATATTACATTACTATTGTCCTACCTTCTCTATGAGATACCTAGATGTTATATAAATATGAAGATACTTATAGAACACAGAAAACATTTTGCAAGTTTCTATCTTTTTTACCTCAGGAGTCTAAAAAAATACTAAAAATCTAAGTACCTATAATGCAAATTTTTAAGGAGTCAATATATCCATAAGAGGATAGGCTAATAAAACAGCTTCTAATTTATTTTTATAGCTTATTCTAATCTGCCAGATCGTTCACATATTCTGTGTACAAATATAACATAACATTCGCCAAAGGTATATCTTTTATTTCAGTTATTAAACCCATTCCGAAATGTTTTTGTGTTGTCGGGCTTCGGGAAAAAAGACACCATGCCACGAGGAATATTTGTTAATGATTAGTCAAATAAAGGCCCACGTTAAATATCGCCTAGGGGTCTCCTAATTGGCAGAGTCGGAGGAAATCACCCGTCGCGTCGATATTTATAGAATTCCACCCTTCCCGTATCCTACCGGAGACCCCCGGGGGCCGATGTCAATACCTTTTCACGCCTTTCCCATATGCCGACTTATTTCGGGTCCACTGGACGTATTTTTCGCTACATCCATTTTTTTGTTATAAATAAATCAGTTATAGTTACACGATTTCTTTGATGATTATTTTAGTTATTGGCGAACTAGACAAATAAAATATTAGCTAAATTTTTTAAGATTTTTTTTTGAAAATTTTCTCTTTCTGTTGGTAAACTGTTGTAACCATTGTAGATAATTGTATCACTGTTAATAAATACCTCCTAAACGTCGGGCAAGTGTAAAAATAAAAGTAAAAATTATGTTTCTTTGCAATCCATATATTTTTATTTAAAAAGATTTTAAACTTTAACGGTCACTCTTTAACGATACTAATTGGTAAAATAAATTTAGTTAATATACCTACAGTAAATTATTACCCATAAAATATGATAATTATTGTAATATCTAAGTTCAATGGACTGCATTAGCAAAATAATTTATTTTTGATGCAAGTTGACTTAGGAAAATAAATTTTAAGCGGTTAAAAACATCCCCATCATTCAAAACTCTTTAACCTAACTCTTGTTCAAAAAAGGCTCCGACTTGAATAGAAAATAAAAAATATCGGCCATCAACGCGCCGTTGAGACGGTAGATAAACGGTGGAATTTTGTAGAGGAAAACCGATACTGCACAGGATATTGGAATATATGCATAAGCTCGTCCGATAAGGGGTTGAAAACGAACTTTTTCAGACGGAGGGAAATGCCGGGATTTGTTGATCGATTTTTAGGGTAATTTAGGAAAGATAAGTCGCTGTACAAATAAAAATCCAATGTATATATTCAATCGGTTTGAAATATGTACTGATGCATGGATAATTTTATAAAAAAATTTCAAGTAAGTACTTTTGAGATAAAATAAAGGGATCCGCACATCACTTGTGCCATGTAAAATTTATAGCTTTGACTAAAATTAGTTTTCCAAGAAAATTAAATAGATATATTACAAACTCCATATTTCCAAATTTCTCAGTTTGTAGAAATGAATCTAAAGTTTTCAAATACTTAATTAGGTATTGTTATTTTTCGGTGGGGAATTCCTGTAAGTGGTAAAGGGTAACGTACGAAGCAAAAATAGATTAATAAAAATAAAAAAAATAATTATGGTTCTACTGTAAAATCAGTTTCAAGAACTCTGATGGTAGGATAGCATAGAAGATAGAAGTTGTAATGAAATATTAAATAAAATACAGCATCCCAGCATCAAGGTCACTATAGACATCTTGCGTTCGATAGCAGAAGTGAAAGATAGAACTTGTGGTAACTGAAGAATCGATAATAGCCGGAGTATTTAATTTTGTTTCTCATATACTATCATAATTTTTATATCAATTCAGAAGCTAAAGAAGACAAAATACAGGGTGGTTCAGAAATCTCGTCCCACCGGGAAAGGCTTTATGGAAACGACAAAGAAGATGCCAAAACTGCAGCCGAAGACATTAAAAAATGTTTCCTTTGGTGAATATAAAGATGATTAAAATGGGCCAATTCCAGTAACAATGATGTGAATGAAATCAATCAATCAAGCTTCAACAATTGACATTATTATAATGATGATTATAATTTATTGAGAATGTGGAAGAAACGCACGAGAAGCTGCTCGAATTTATGGGGAACGATTTCCCGGTATTAGGATGAGTTTATCCTTTTGTTTTTACAAGCAAATCTTTGATTAATAGTCGAGTTAGTTGTGACAGCTTTTGATAACCTTGAAAGTGAAAAGGACGTAGAAACATTCAGTAATTCAAAGTCAAAATTGGTAAAGCGCATTTACGTCATTTTCGTGGATTTGAATTTAACCATTACTGGGATTGGTAGACTTTAAACCCATTTATTTACCAAAGAAAAAACATTTTCACTACTTCGGCTGCAGTTTTGGCATCACCACTGTCGTTTCCATATTCCTTTTCCCGGTGGTACGCGAGTTCTGG